TTCTCTCTTTCTCCTTCTTCATTATATCTCTCTTAATGAAGTGTCTCTCCAGATTTTAAAGGAAAACCTCTTTAAGGCCCTGGTAGGCTGTTTTAAAAAAATTGACCTCTGATTTTTGTTTAGAAATATGGTTTCTAATTTTGGTAGGTCACGTATATCTAGGAATTTGTCCATTTTTTTTCCAAAGATTTCCAAAGAAGTCTGTGTAGTAACTGTATTACTTACTTTTCTGTTGCTATGATTAAACATCATGACCAAGACAATCTATAGAAGGAAGAGTTTATTTGGGCTTATAGTTCCAGAGGGATGATTCTGTCATGGGGGAGGCATGGTGGCAGAGGCAGCTGAGCCATCTCTCCAACCCCCGATATTTTTAAATGTAAGAATTCATAGCTATAAACTTGACCCTAGGAACTGTCTTAGCTGTATCCCAAAGGTTCTGATAAGTTTTCCTTTCATTTAATTTGGTTCTAGTAACTTTTTATTTCCTTATCCTAATCTTTTTTTCAATGACTCATTGATTATTTAAGTGTGTTATTGTACAGCACCCGTGCATTTTTATAGCATTTATATTTTTCTTGTTACTGATTTCTACTTTTATTGCAATATGATCTAAGATATAAGAGATTATTTGGAATGTGTATATGTGTATATATGCTAAATGTGTACAGGTACCAGAAGAGTGCATCAGATGCCCTGGAGCTGACAGACATAGGTGCTGGGGAACTGAACTCTACCCCTGTGAAGAGCAGGAAGTTCTCTTAACCACTAAGCCATCTCTCTAGCCCCAAATTTGGTTTTTCTTGTTGTCAAACTAAATGTGTTGGCCGGGCGTGGTGGTGCATGCCTTTAATCCCAGCACCCAGGAGGCAGAGGCAGGCAGATCTCTGTGAGTTCAAGGCCAGCCTGGTCTACATAGTGAGTTCCAGGACAGCTGGGGCTACAGGGACACCCTTTCTCAAAAAGACTAATAAAATAAAATAAAATAAATGTGTAACAAGCCGGAAAGATAGCTCAGTGGTTAAGAGTGCTTACTGCTCTGTCATGAGGACTGGAGTTTGGATCCCAGTATCCCTGTTGGGTGACTCACAAATACCTGTGATTCTAGCTTTAGTCGATCCTAAACCCTCTTCTGGCTTCTGTGGGCACTCACACACATAAATAATAAAATGTAAAATCTTAAAAAATGAATGTGTAACAGTTTCAAGAACCAAAGAGTTCACTAAGATGAATAAAAACAGCATTGATCTGAAACTGTAGCTCACTGGTAGAATGCTTGTCTAGCATATAGAAGGCCGTGGTTCAAGCCCCAGCACTGCAAGAACAACAGTCAAAACACAGTATTGCCCTAGGAATTGGTTCCTGCTCTTTAGCCATTTACTCTATTTTCTGTTTTCCGGAGACAGTCAGGCATTTTAAACTTTTATAGTAGTTTTCTATTGGTATTCAGTATTGGTTGCTTTGATGGTGTTATGACCAAAATACCTGACAGAAAAAAACTCAATGAAAGAAAATTTTATTTTGACTTACAATTTGAGGAGATTTCAGTCCATCACAAGAAAGGTATAGTGGTATTCATGGAGGTAAGATCTGGTGCTAGAGATTCTTTGCATCCCAGTGGACCAAGAAGCAAAGAGTGGCCAGAACCAGGGGCTGGGCTGTAAACTTCAGAGGCCTGTGGCTAGTGACCTACTTCTGTAAGGTAGGCCCCACCTCCTGAATATCCCATAGCTTCCCAAACTACCACCACACACTGGGGAAAAGTGTTCAAGACATGAAGCTATGAGGAACAGTTCAGATTCAAACCCAATCTGGCGTTATGCACACATCTGGTCTCATGTCAAATCATTTCCTTTTTCCTTTCAGTTTCTAGAGCATACCAAGATCTTCCCATGAATTTATATGCTGTTTCTGTAGCTTGAGATGTTCTTATTAGTTCACCATCTCCTTACCACTATGAGAAAGCTCCTTTGATTACCCTAATTGCAACCTCATATCTTGTTTTCTATCACTGAAATAATTTGCTTATTCATTGCTTATACTTATTACTTTTCTCTTTCAATAGATATTAAGCAATTATATCTCTTTTATTTTCCAGAGTAGGTCAGACACCTATTATATAGTGCCTAGCTCAAGGGACTGGTGATTTAATAATCACTTTTCTGAATAAATGAACTGAGATTTCTGTTGACATAAAGTTTCTTTTTTTAAAAAATATTTATCATTTTTATTTTATGTATATGAGTGTTATGCGTGCACGTAGATAAGTGCACCCGTGTCATGCAGTGCCCGCAGAGAATAGAAGAGGCTGCCAGATCCCCTGGAACTGGAGTTATGGACAGGTGGTAGCTGCCATGTGGGTGCTAGGATTTGAACCCGGGTCTTCTGCAAGAACAGTCAGTGTTCTTAAGCACTGAGCCATCTTTTCTATGTATAAAATGAAACTCATTTTATTCCTCCTGTGTATCATCTGTTCTCATCTTTCTAATTTTTGTGTGGATATGTAGTGGATGTGTGTGTGTGTGTGTGTGTGTGTGTGTTTAAGTGTAAACCAGAAGTCAGGTGATATCAGATGTCTTCCCCTATTGTTCTTCACTTTTTTTTTTTTTTTTTTTGAGGGTTTCTCGCTAAACTAGAGCTCTCTCTAGAGCTTGCCATTTCTGCTGGACTGACTGGCCAGTGAGTCCTGGACTCTACCTGTCTCCATCCATGTCTCTACCCATCAGTGCTGGGATTACAGATGTGCATACTAGGCCTAATTTTCACATGAGTGCCAGGGACCTGAATTCAGTTCCTCACTTTGCCTACCCACACCATTTCCCCAGTCTTCATCTTTCCTAATTAAAAATTTATTAATTAATTCGTTGCATGCGTACATGTGTCATGGGGGTCAGAGAACAACTTGCAGGTGTCACTTCTCCATTTCCACCATGTGGGTTCCAGGGATCTAACTCAGGTCATCAGGCTCGACAATAGGTACCTTTACCCTATGAGCTGTGGCACTGGCCCCATCTTCCCTTCTTCCCTTTTTTTTATTTTATTTTATTTTTTTTATTTTTGAGACAGGGTCTCCCTGTAGCCCCAACTGGCCTGGAACTCTCTATGTAGACCAGGTTAGCTTCGAACTCACAGAGATTTACCTGCCTCTGCAGGGATTAAAGGTGTGCACCACCATGCTGGGCCTGATAATCATTTTATTTTCTTGTGCAACTAAATGACTATCAGATAGTTAAGTGAGGTGTTGAATGACTCTTTGGACACTAGTCTGGGGACAGCTATTTGACATCTGGGAACCATTTTCACTTTGTTTTTGACCCGCCCAGGCAGTTAGCTGCCAATATTGTTCATCCTTTGTTTCCTCCCTAACATCTGTCTGCATTCAGCCCCCATTCCCTTATTCTATTACTCTGGCTTGACTTCCTTTTGTTATCTCAATTTTAATTTGATGCACATTTCCACTTAGACTAATCTTGTATCATGTAATTCTCTTGCTTAGAAACATGAAGAGATGTTTCACTACTTCAGACTTTGTAGTCTGGAATGCAAGATGCTCAGTGGTCTGGTCCCAGCGTCCCTTTTATGTCCCAGCTTTCAGCTGCCCTTCATGCCTTTCACTACTTTAGCTTTTATATGCTTTCATCTAAATGTTTTCTCATATAATTTTTTCCTGACCATAATACTTCTCTTTTTTCCTGTCAGAGTTTCAGAAAATATTTTAAATTACATAGGTATGCTTATTTATATATACATATGTACTATTTCTCCTGTTTACTGCCTTTCAAAATCTAATATTTATTCTGTTTACTGTTTTTCAAGGACCTAACATATTTTCTTCTGTGAAGTCACCCCAGACTACTTAAACTACAGGGGTATAGAACACAGCTCTTCAATTTTATTTTTATGATAAATTTAAGCAAACAAATAGAATTTTTTTCTAACAAGAAATTTAAATGCTGAGTAATAACATTTTCTTAGAGTATGTAATTTTTTTTTTAACCTTTGTGTTCCCTTATGGTTATCTTGCCTCCATTGAGAATACATGGTAGGGTTAAGGCTCTAGCATTCAGATTCAGAGCTTATTTTTTATTTAGTTTCTGTTGGTAGTAAATCTTGGGTTGCCTTAGGAGATTCCTTACACTTCTAAAGTATAGTTAGTGAATTTTCTTGTTACTCTAGTTAAATGTTCTTGAGTGTAGGGGTATTTCTAGGTGTTTACTTAGCATCAAAAGCACTGGTTTAAGAGAAGTAGTTTTTCTAGCATGCTTCGTCTATTGCACTATTTGATAATGCTATTTGGAGATTCTAGACAAGGTCTCCCTGTAGCCCTAGCTGGCCTGGAACTCCCCTGCCTCTGCCTCCTGAGTGCTGGGATTAAAGGCGTGCACCACCATGCTCCGCCTTTGGGGATTCTTTTTTTTTTTTTTTTTTTTTTTTTGAGACAGAGTCTCCTTGTAGCCCCAGCTGTCCTGGAACTCACTATGTAGACCAGGCTGGCCTCGAACTCACAAAGATCCACCTGCCTCTGCCTCCCAAGTGCTGGGATTAAAGGCATGTGCCACCACACCCAGCTTGGGGATTCTTTTAAATCACACACACACACAAAAATAGATTTCCTCAAGCCTGTTATGGTGGCGCACGCCTTTATTCTCAGCGGTGGGGGGGCAGAGGCAGGTGGATGGTCTCTTTGAGTTTGTGGCCAACCTGGTCTCCATAGGGAATCCAGGCCAGCTGGGACTACAGGGAGACCCTGTCTCAAAAAGACAAAAAAAAAAAAAAAAAAGAGAGAGAGAGAGAGAGATTTCCTCATTCTTTGTAGAATCTTGCTTTATTCTTGCTCCCAAAAGAACTGTTAATTTGGTTGACAGTTAATTTGGATTTTTCTTAACTGAACAGTATCGAAAGTTACATTAAATTGATAGTATGTGGTTCACTGAACATAAATGGCTATATTGTGGTTTAAGTGGATTGATTGTGTTGAAATTTTCATTTCTCCACTACAGGCAGTGCAGTGGCATCTGTAGCTGTAGATCCCAGTGGCCGTCTCTTAGCCACAGGTCAAGAAGACTCTAGTTGCATGCTGTATGACATAAGAGGAGGAAGAATGGTACAGAGTTATCACCCTCATTCCAGTGATGTTCGCTCTGTTCGCTTCTCCCCTGGAGCACACTACTTGCTAACAGGCTCTTACGATATGAAAATAAAGGTGGCAGATTTACAAGGTGACTGAAATTGACATCTCCCTTTGTTTTTAGTCTCTTCTATTCAGGGTCCTTTTTCCTAATCTAATGTGATTGACTAACATTTTCAAATTTAAATTTTATACTATTTATTGAGAATGCTACATTAAGATTTCTTGCTGGGCATGGTGGTGCATGCCTTTAGTACCCAGCACTTGGGAGGCAGAGGCAGGTGAATCTCTGTGAGTTCAAGTCCAGCCTGGTCTACATAGTGAGTTTCAGGCCAGCTGGAGCTAAAGGGAGACCCTGTCTCAAAAAGACCCCCCCCAAAAGATTTCTTTTAACAAATTAGGTAAACAGTGAAATCTTACTTTTATTTAATAAAATAAATTTTATTAATTTTTTTATACTACAGTGACTGTGATGTTAAATAATGGATTTATATACTGTTTTTAGCTTTTAAAAATCAGTAGTGTGTCTACATTGTGAGTTCCAGGACAGCTGGGGCTACAGGGAGACCCTGTCTCGATGATCTCACAGCCAAGCACCCATGGGATACTAATTGGACTTGATAGATAGATAGATAAATAAATAAATAGATAGATAGATAGATAGATAGATAATCAATAGTACACAATCTGTGTAATTAGATTTTCACTTTCTAGTTTTATTTTTATCCATTTAAGTAAATATTGCTTTATACTGACTAGGAACAGATGAACAAATGTATTATACTACATACCTCTTTGATGGAGTTTATATTTTAGAGGCCATTGAAAAATAAATTACTGAATGATGTAATTTTAAGTACTAGCCAATGCTACTAAAAAAATTAGCTGACAACCCCACAGCCAACATCATGCTAAATGGAGAAAAACTCAAAAGTATTTCCACTAATACGAGGAACAGATGTCCACTGTCCCCATTCCTGTTCAATATAGTGCTTGAAATCTTAGCTAGAGCAGTAAGACAAGTGAAAGAGATAAAGGGGACACAAATAGAAAAGGAAGAAATCGTAGTGTCCTCATTTGCACATGATACAACTCTATACATTAAAGACTCCATCAGGAAGCTCTTAAAGCTGCTAAACACATTCAGCAAATACCAGGATATGAAGTTAACACACAGAAATCAGCAGCCTTCCTGTATACAAACAAACATACCAAGAAAGAAATCAGATAAACATCCCATTCACTATAGCTTAAAATAAATAAATAAATAAATAAAAATCTTGGAATAAATCTAACCAAAGAAGTGAAAGGCTTGTATAATAAGAACTTGAAGACATTGAAAAAAGAAATTGAAGAAAATACCAAAAGATGGAAACAGGCTTGTTAATAAATAGGATCAATATTGTGAAAATGGCCATTCTACCAAAAGCAATATACAGATTCAGTGCAATCCCCATCAAAATTCCAACACAGTTCTTCATTGAAATTGAAAACATAATCTTAAATTTCATATGGAACCACAAAAATTCCAGGATAGCCTAAACAATCCTGAACAATAGAAAAACAAATAGGAAGTTCCACCATCCCTGATTTCAAAATAGTCTACAGAGCTATAGTAATAAAAACAGCATGATACTGGCATAGATAAACAGGGACAATGATCAATGTACTAGAATTGAGGACCCAGATACAAGTTCATGCACCTATGGCCACCTCATTTTTGGAAAATAGGCCAAAAATATGCCCTGGAGAAAAGACAGCGTGTTCAACAGATAGTGCTAGTCAAACTGGACAGCTATATGCAGAAAAATGAAACTAGATCCTTATCTCTCACCCTGCACAAATCTCCAAGTGGATCAAGCACCTCAACCTAAGACCTGATGTCCTGAATCTGATAGAGGAGAAAGTAGGGAATACGTTGGAACTTATAGGCACAGGAAAGGACTTTCTGAACAGACGCCTGGTAGCACAGGCATTAAGACCAACAACTGACAAAGGCGAGTACATGAAACTAAAAGGCTTCTGTAAAGCAAAAGATACCATCCTTCAAGTAAAGTTGCAGCCTACAAAATTGAAAAAATCTTTACCAGCTATACACCTGACAGAGGGTTAGTATCTAGAATATGCAAAGAACTAAACATTAGAAGTGGGGCATACATGTAAACAAGAGTTCTCAAAGGAAGAAATACAAGTGGCTGAGAAACACTAAAAAAATGTTCAGCATCCCTTAGCCACCAGAGAAATACAAATTAAAACTGCATTGAGAGTCCATATTACCAAGTCAAAATGGCTAAGTTAATAGAAAAAAGAAAAAAGACAACTAATGCTGGCATGGATGTGGAGAAAGGGGAACACTTCTTTACTGTCAATGGAGTGTAAACTGGTACAGCTATTATGGAAATAACGTGGAAGTTCCTCAAAAAGATAGGATTGGATCTACCACAAGATCCAGCTATACCACTCTTGGGCATATACCCAGAGGACTCTGTATCCTACTACAGAGATATTTGCTCATCCTGCCTCGTTGCTGGTCTATTCACAATAGCCAGAAAATGGAAGCAGCCTAGATGTACTTGAACTGATGAATGGATAAGAAAAATGTGATGTGTTTACACAACAATATATTTCAGCTGTTAAGAACAATTGAAATTATGAAATTCACAAGTAAATGGATGGAACTGGAAACATCATCCTGAGTGAGGTATTCCAGACCCAGAAAGATAAAACATTGCTTGTTTTCTCTCATGTGGATATTAGCTTTGAATCTTTAGATATATGTGTTTTATTTGGAATGCCCCTAGAGTTTAGGAAAGTAGTAAGGGGCCATGGGTGAGGGGGATGGATCTCTTAAGGGAAGGGAGATAGAATATAGTAATATAAAGGGGGAGAGGGGAGAGTGGAGGCGGGAAGAGGAGGAGGGATAACTAACTAAAGATCTTTTGAAAAACCATGCAGAGCTGTTTGTGGTGGCAGGCAGATCTCTGTGTGTTCAAGGCTAGCCTGGACTTAGCAAGTTCCAGGTCAGCTGGGGCTATAGGGAGACCCTGTCTAAGAAAACAAGAAAAACCATATAAGAAACCTATTGTAGAAGCTCTTTAAAATATATACATGTACATATATAAAAAAGAAGTTAAATGTAGTTACCCTATAACGGGGGACAATAACCCAGACACCTCATTCTAGCATATAAAAGCTCCAATACCAAGAATGGATTACCTCTCTTGGAGTTGTTGGCCAGTGGGATCCCATTGACTCCCAAACATTGCAGGCTATTGCCATTGCTCTTGGTTACCCTGTGGTACTTGACAATAAAGCCCTATTGCTGAAGACAACATATTTGAGTTATAAAACATCGAAATCAAGCAGGTACTGACCTGGAAACTTCATCCCTACTGGCTAGGTTTCATAGTGCTAGAAGGTGGTATGCATGCTACCAGAGGAGAAAAGTAATCATCAATTTTATCCAGCTGTGAAACCCTGCAAGCTCCAAAAATGACTGAACTGGCAAAGTCTGCCCACTACTACAACAGTGATACAAATATGGGAGTAACCACTACACTCTAATTGGATTCAAGACCCACTGCACGAGATGGAACCCATACTTGGCACCATTACCTGGACCAAGAACCTGTGACGAGATAGGTCATGGGCCCTAGGGGAGAACCTGCTATTAATAGTCTACTAAATGTACATCGTATTAAAATCACTCCTAATGACTTACTGCTATTGCCGAAGATGAGTGCATTTCTCAACCCTCATCAGAGAAGTTTCCTGCAGTAAAAAGCAGTTATCATGGAGACCTATAACTGGTCAATCTGCAGAGAATAAGAGACTTCAGTGTGCTCATCCCTAAATGGGACCTCTTTATTACACCCCTCCTCCCACGGCTCGGGGATCATTGTGGAAGAGGGGGCAGAGAGACTGTAAGAGCCGGAAGTCATGGGTGACTACAGAGGGTTTCCAGAGAGCAGGGAAGTTGTGCATATGAACTTACAGCAATTCTAACAGCACACACAAGACCAGCTCAAGCAGAAGCCAGATAAAATCCCAGCCTCAACCAAGGAGCTATTGCAACTGATGCTGGGAGAGGGAGAATCAGTTTTCTTTAAGGGTGTGACCCCTATTAGGTCAATATGGTACCACTCACTCTCAAGTATATTTGGGCATTACAAATTTGACTCAGTGCCAGGGCGAGGGGCACATAAAGATGGGTGGGTGGGAAGGTAAATTATAGGGAGGAGTTGGGAGAGAAATATGATCAAAATACATTATATGAAACTAATTTTAAAAATTGAAAAAAGTCCCATTCACCTAAACATTGGGTGTTTTATGGGAAAGAAGTTCTCTACTAAAATAAAAAAAGAAAATGTGATGCAGAAATGAAGTTAAAATGGACCAGAAAGTGAAATAAATTTGCTCTTTAGTTATCCAAGATAAAAATGTGTTCATGTAAGCTGCAAAGGGAGTTTTCCAACCTTCAGAAAGATCGGTTAAAAAGCCTCCAATAGAGCATAAACATGCATACATAGGATTTGCACATTAAATATTGAGAATAATTCCACAGAAATGTCAATGTAATGGAGAGAATTACTACTGTCATTTTGACTCTAAAATATTCCTTGTTCTTATTGTCTAAAGTATATACAGATGATGGATAAACAGTTATATTGTGAAAGAGCAAATAGAAAATTGAGAAAGCAATATATATATATATATATTAGCTAGTAGGAGGGAGTGACTAGAATTAGGGGAAGGCTATTTTAGACAGGATTGTTAGAGTGATCTCTCCAGGGAAATGCCATTTGCATAGATCCTGAGGGTGAGAAGGAATAAGCTCTGTCAAGATGGTCAGAGTCCAGGTATAAAGGTAGAGGTGAAAGCAATACTGAATTTGAGACTTTGGTTCATTCATATTAGCTTTAGAAGTAAGGGAACAAGGGATTGGTGATGTTGCCTTGGTTTCTGACATGAGCATCCAGATGGTGCATTAGTTAAGGTGAGGAACATGCATGGGTCAGGAGCAAATTTGGGCAAGAAAAAAAAAATTGGCTTTAGACAAATTAAGTTTAATATGGCTGTCAAGGAATCAAACAAGGTATTAAATTTTTATTTGGTACCTAATTTGAAGTTTAAAAGTGAAGTGTGGCTGGGCATGGTGGCACATTCCTTTAATCCCAGCTCTTGGGAGACAGAGGCAGGCAGATATCTGTGAGTTCAAGGCCAGCCTGGTCTACATAGTGAGTTCCAGGACAGCTGGGGCTACAGGAAGACCCTGTCTCAAAAAAGGTTGAAAAAAAAAAGGCAAGTGTGAAGATAAAATGAATGTAAATCATAGATAAATAAACAGCCAAAGTACAAGATGAAATTTCAGAGGAAGTGAGATTTGGGGGACAGAAGAAATAAGTCAGGAAGGGAGGGAAAGTTAGCAAAGGAAACTTGTGATAGAGTGATACTGGAGTCACTACATAAAGAGAATTTTCCAGAGAGAATGGCAGCTGTGTTAAATGCTGCCATGTGTATGTTACCACATTCGGACATGATTTATCTCTGCTTAAACCTTCCATACTGTAGCAAGATGTCTGTAAAATCTGTATGTACTTACTCTTATAAATCAGCACCTCTCCTTTCTTAATTTAGGTGACCTCACCAAGCAGCTTCCTATCATGGTGGTAGGGGAGCATAAGGACAAAGTGATTCAGTGCAGATGGCACACCCAGGATCTTTCCTTCCTGTCATCCTCTGCAGACAGAACTGTAACTCTCTGGACTTACAATGGCTAGAGTGCACCCTGTATCAGTCTATGCAGTGAAAGCACAGAGACTTCAGACTACTGAGTTGTGAAAACTACGAACCTGAAGAACATACTGTTTAAGAAAGAAGCTTAGCACGAGGAAGCCCCTCTTTACCATGTCCTATCGATAGGAATGTTAGGTGGTGTTGTTCTGCAGTGCTTTCAGTCTTCCATGTGAGTTTGTGCTGCTGTGTAGTCTCCTTGCCAAAGTCTGCAAAAGAGCTCTTATGTTGATGTGTGCTCCAAATCAAGGTACATGATGTGTTTACGGTTTATTATTAAATACACTTCTCATTTTTTGCCCAAATAACAGTTTTATATACACTCTGACACTGGATTATACTTTAAGAATTCTGTTACATATAATATAACCAAGTTCTCTCCAGATGAAACAGGTGTTCAGAAATTACTTTGCTCTTGTCACAATCCCATATTGTATCCCTTACCTTCTAGAGGTCAGAATTGGATGTGCCTCTTACATTTTACATGGTTGTTTCCACCTAAGGATTATTATGGAGTTGAAAGATGAATGGAAAACTGCTTCTTAGTTTGTTCTAAGGTAGCCTTTTTTTTTTTCTTAACCCAGGGATATGGTTTCTATTTTGTCACCTGTTTTGTTCAGACTAAATGGTAAATATGTTTTCTTTGGAAACTTGTTAACTTCAATTTTTTGAATGCAACAAGATACCTCCCTTCTATCCTGTACTGTAGACACAGAGCAGCAGCAGTTGTGTGATGCAGTATTTGATGGTATGGTTAATTTACTGCCTAGCATTTTCCTCTTAAACAATAAAAAACTTTGCCATGACCATAGCATGGCTTGAAAAGCTATGTGTGCATGATAATTTAAAATGGAAAATTTAAACTTTGCACTCCAAAAGCTTATTTGGATTTTTTTCTCGCAGTTTTGTGTAATGAAGAATAATGATTTTATTAGTACTATACTATAGAGCCTAACATTTTATGTATCTTTATTTTCATATGGTTCGGTATTTTAAGTTATTAAATAGGCTATTTTATTTATTTCAACTGCAGTTGTATTGAACTGTCTGTGCACTGTATGTAGCAAACATTTTTAATCTATGGTACACCAGTGGAAAAGTTCTAGAAATGTAACTGTGCTTTTATTTCAATAAAGACCTCTTGACACCTGAAATCATACTTGTTTCTCAGTCTGGTTTTCAATTTAGCGTATTACTTCAGTTTACTTGGAGAAAGTAGGTCTAGTGGATGAAACAGTTCAATGGTTAGATGAACCCCATTTGCACTTTCTTACTCTTTCCTAAAGCTCTTCCACTAATCTGTTTTGCAGCCCTCAGCAACTGCACAGTACTTTTCTGCCCTCTCTCTCTTTCTCTTTCCTTTCTTTTCTTTTTAAATTTTATGTGCATGAGTGTATTGCCTGCATGTATGTGAGTGCACCTGTGTCGTGCAATGCCTCAGAGGTCAGAAGAGGGCTTCGGATTCCCCTGGAACTGGAATTAAGGACGGTTCTTAGCCGCCATGTAGGTGCTGGGAATTGGGAATCGAACCCGGGTCCTCTGCAAGAGCAGTCAGTGTTCTTAACCACTGAGCCATCTCTCCAGCCCTTTTCTTTAAAAAGAAAACATCAGCCGGGCGTGGTGGCGCACACCTTTAATCCCAGCACTTGGGAGGCAGAGGCAGGCGGATCTTTGTGAGTTCGAGGCCAGCCTGTTCTACATAGTGAGTTCCAGGACAGCTGGGGCTACAAGGAGACCCTGTCTCAAAAAAAAGACAAAAAAAAAGAAAAGAAAAGAAAACATCAACTTCATACAAGCCCAGGTCTGTTAGCACACACCTTTCATCCCAGCATTTGAGAGGTAGGCAGATCTCTGAATTTGAGACTAACCTGGTCTGCATAGCAAGTTCCAGGCCAGTCAGGGGTACATAGTGAGACCCTGTCTCAAAAACCCAACCACTCAAACAAAAACCTAAAAAAAAAAAGCCAACTTTATACAGCATTGGGGGTTGAACTCAAGACCTTACACATACAAAGCAAGCATTCTACTACTAAGGTACATCTCCAATGTTTTGTTGCAGTTTTTAATTAATAAGGCCTGGCAAGGCAAGGACTCAGAATGTAGCTCAGTGGTAAAGTACTTGCCTAGCATGTACAAGGCTGTGGGTTCAATTCTCAACACTGCAAAGTAAATAATAAGCCAAACTAAATAGGGCAACTAAATAGAGGGGCAGCCTAGGGAAAGTATTGCCTAGCAAGAATACATTAGAGACCACAAAGTGTCAGCCTTGGTTACACTGCCTCCTACAGCAGATCCTCCTGAAGACAGACTGGAGTGGGTCACTCTGTGGCTGCCACAGCCCACCTCTTTAATAGTGATTCATTTCTCCATGTTTTCAGAACAGATTTTTTCATGGTTCCTGTGAGCTGATTTTTCCTAAAGGGAAAATTTACTAGTTTATTATAAAGAATATTACTGAAGATCCAGGGAGCTTCTCTGGGCACCCCATCTCCAAAAAACCAACCAATCTGTGTGCCACTACCCAGAAATTACAAGCAGTTAGCTCTGTCCTCCCTCCCTCCCTCCTATGTCCCCTCTCCCCCTCCCTCCTTCCCTCCCTTCCTGTAAAATTGTGCATGTTTATAGTATATCATGTGATTTTTCAGTGTGTACATTTCCCTTTTTTTTTGATTAGCAGTATATTATTGTCTGTGGTCACCTTAGTGTAATAAAATATCAAAACTTAGTTCTACCTGACCAAAACTCATGGCAATTTATTAATATAACCTAGTTAAATTTCATGGTAAAAAAATGTTCACAGGAATGGTGGCACATCCTTGTAATGAAGGACAGCACTTGAGCAGCAGAGACAGGAGAATCAGCAGTTCAGGGCCAGCCTCAACATATAGCAAGCTGGAAGTCAGTCTGGGCTGCATGAAACTATGTCTCAAAAATAAATATTCATAGGATTAGGGGTGTAGTTCTCTGGTAGAGTCCCTCCTAGCATGTGTGAGTCCCTAGGTTTGATTCCTAACATCCTCTCACCCCCCAAATTCACTTTCTCTTTTTCATCATTGTCAGGGAGAAACATTTCAAGATCTCAGATATGAAAGTTTTTATTACAATTTATTTATCTGTGTGTGCACATCACGATGCACATATGGAGGCCAAAGGACATCCTGTGGGAGTCAGTTTTCTCCTTCCATCATAGGAATCCTGAGGATTGAACTCAAGTTATCAGACTTGGCAGCAAGCACCTTTACCTGCTGAGCCATCTTGCCAGCCCAGAATTTATTTTTTATTGCAGCACACTATATTAAAGCACCAGAAATTGCTTTATTTATTGCAATAAATGTTTGGATACATAAGTCCATTTTCTGTGTCTCTGAGTTGTCTTCTGTAGGGGTTGAATAGATTCTGTAAGGCCCACATGGAAGAAAAAAATGAGATGACTCAAGTACCTTTTCTGAGCCTTTCTCAGAATGTGAGGAAGGAGTTATTTGGGTGAAAGGCACCGGTGCACTTCCCAGGGTGAGACTTAGATCAACTCTAAATTGCCCTTTTTCTTGTTTTTTATTTTTAAATTAATTTGTGTGTATGAGTGTTTTGCCTGCATATGTGTAAGAGCACCTGTGTCTTGCAATGCCCGCAGAGGCCAGAAGATGGTGTCAGAACCCCTGGAACTGGAGTTAAGGACCATTGTTAGCCACCATATGGGTGCTGGGAACTGAACTCAGGTCATCTGCAAAATCAGCCAGTGCTCTTAACCACTGAGCCATCTCTCCAGCCCATTTTTTATTTTTAAAGGTATTTAGCATTCTTTTTAAAATGCAATAACCAAAAGATAACAGTGAAGAGAAAACCCATGAAATGTGAGGAAATATTTGCAAAGTCTGTCAGATAAGAGAATATGTAATAGCTGGGGATGGTGGCTCCTGTCTGTAATCTCAGCACTTCTGAGGCTGAGACAGGAGAATTGTCACAAGTTTGAGGTCTGCCTGGGCTAAATAGTAAATTTCCAGCTTGCCTGGGCTGGAAATAGAGACCCTCTCTCAAACACAATTGCTAAAATGCAACAACATTTTAAAACAACCTGTTTGGAAAGTGAGCAAAGGACTTCAGTAGTCATTTCTCCAAAGAAGATACATAAATGGCCATTAACCACATGAAAAGATGATCTGCTGGGGGTTAGGAACACCACTGCATTCACTTTGGGAAGCAGTGCACGAGTTTGAAGCCTCCCTCCACCCCCCATCAGCAAAACAAAACATCATAAGAAAATATTCTCAAATCAGTGAGGATGCAGGGATATTCCCTTGAACACTCTTGTGAATGTAAAATGATGCTCTATAGAAAACAGTGTGGGAGCTGGAGAGATGGCTGCTCTTCCAGAGGACCTGAGTTAGGTTCCCAGCACCTATATGGCAGCTAACAAGTGTCTGTAACTCCAGTTCCAGGGGATCAGATGCTCTCTTCTGGGCCCCATATGTATTGCACGCTCAGGTGCACTTACATACATGCAGGCAAAACACTCATACAAAAATAAATTTTTAAAAATTTAAAAAGAAAAGCAGTGGCAGTTTACCACAAAATTAAGAATAGAGCCAGGTGTGGTGGCATATGCCTGTAAACCAGCAATGGTGATCCTGTGAAGGATTGTACAAGTCAATAGCCAGCCTAGACTTCATAGTGAGACCCTGTCATAAAATACAAAATAAGTATAAAAATAAAATTACCACACAATCCAGCCATCTCACTTTCAAATATATGTTACTCCTCCCTCCAAGTCCCAACAGACCAGACAGCCTCCCATCCCAATCAAAGAGACAAGTAGTGATGAAGGAGAAAGGAGATTTAATCAGCATGACCAGTTTGGAAGAATAGTGTGATGGTTACTATTGACTAGGAGACAGTCCTCTGGGCGTGCCCGTGAGAGACTGTTAGAGGTTAGCTTCAGGGCATGCCTGTGAGGGATTGTCTAGATAGGTTAACTGAAGTAAGAAGACCCCACCTCTCTTATGGGTGACTTCACCATTCTATAGGATAGTCTAGGACTGGCTACAAAGAAGAAAGCAAGCAGAGCTCTGGCATTCACTGAACACTGTCCTGACTGTGGATGCAGTGTAACCAGCTGCTTCAGACTTCAGACTTCAAGTTCCTGATGCCATGACTTCTTCGCTGAGGTAGGATATGCTCTTAAATCATGAGCCCATAGTAGCTCTTTCTCCCTTAAGTTGCTTTTGTCAGGTTATTTATTTATTTATTTATTTATTTATTTATTTATTTATTTTTGGTCTTTTTGAGACAGGGTCTCCCTGTAGCTCCAGCTGTCCTGGAACTCACTATGTAGACCAGGCTGGCCCTTGAACTCACAGAGATCTGCCTGCCTCTGTCTCCCGAGTGCTGGGATCAAAGGCATGCGCCACCACGCCCAGCCACTTGCCCTTTTTTAAATCAATATTTTATGTATTTTTATTTTGTGTGTATGAGTGTATTATTGCCTGCATGTATGTAAGTGTACCCATGTCATGTGATGTCTGTGGAGGTTGGAAGAGGGTGCTGATTAGCCACTATGTGGGTGCTGGGAACTGAACGTAAGTCTTCTGCAAGAGCAGCCAGTGCTCTTAACTGCTGAGCCATGTCTCCAGCCCCAACTTGTTTCTTGCATGTGAACCAGTAAGTTTAAGGTTGCTTACATGGCATGGGTGAGGGGTTATTTATAGGAGCAGGGGCAACTTAAAAGTTGCTATATCATGAGGAAAATGGCTCCCTGCTCTCCATCTCCCTGTTTTCCACAGCAGCCATTAACTGTCTGTCAGTAGCTCCTTAAGAGTGGATCCTCATAGGTGGGGCATGGTGGCAAACACCTTTAATCCCAGCACTTGGGAGCAGAGGCAGGCAGATATCTGTGAGTTCAAGTCAGCCTGGTCTACATAGCAAGTTCCAGGGGGGCAACAGGGAAACCCTGTCTCAAAAAGATAAAAAAAGAAAAAGAATGGGTCTCATAAACCCCTACCCATATTCATGACATCAACAAGCCCAGTCTTGCCAAGGTCTTGTGCATGTAATCATAGGGCTAGAGAGTTCATGATTGCAATGACCATTTCCTGCCTGGGAAAGAGCATTCTGTAACATTCCTCCCCTTCCTCCAGCTCGTACAGTTCTTCTATCCCCTCTTATGTGATGTTCTCTGAGCCTTGTTGTGGGTGATACAGATGCCCCATTTAGGGCTGAGCATTCAACAGTCACTTATTCTCAGCACTTTAACCAATCATGAGTCTCTGCATTCACTACTGTATACTGCAAAAGAGAAGCTTCTCTGACCAAAGCTGAGAGCAACACTAATCTACGGGTATAAAACATAAATATGGGGGCTGGAGAGATGGCTCAGCAGTTAAGAGCACTGACTGCTCTTGCAAAGGACCCGGGTTTGATTCCCAGCACCCACATGGTGACTACGAACCATCCTTAACTCCAGTTCCAGGGGAATCCGAAGCCCTCTTCTGGCTGCAGAATTGCATGACACGGGTGCACTCACATATATGCAGGCAATACACTCACACACATAAAATTAAAAAAAATAACCCATAAATATATACAAGGCAGTTTGAGAAGCATAACTTGTTAATTTAGCAGAACAACAGTAGTAGAGTCCCTACCAGGGCATATGACCATCCCAGCCACGGTCTTTTGACCAGGTTTACAGTACCAGACATGAATTCCCTTCTGAAGCATGGGCCTCAAGTTCATTCAGAGTGGGTGGTTACCCACTTAACAAACTTGCCACTATTGCACAACTGAGCACATTTTGCTTGGCAGGTTGGTAGTGTAGCACACAAGGTCCACAGCATGGTATGACTGTTGAGAACTTTCTTCCCCAACAGCCTGCATAGCATCTTCTGGCACTATAAAAGCTAGTCAGCAGGGAGGAAGCTTCTAGCTCAGTTCTAGTTTCACTTATGCTTTGTAACCAAAGCTTGGGGTTTCTTCAGCCTTAAGGTCTTTTACCCACAGCATAAGGACATGTTATGCTATTGAGCAGTGAATTAGTTTGGGTCCCTTTTCATAAAGATGTTTATCCAGAAAATACTGTAGCTTCTGGAACCCAAAGTAACTGGAGAAGAGTGAATCCATAGGAAAAAGTTAAAGAGGTAAAAATAGAGCCAGTCAGAAATAAAATGTAATTAGGTCAAGTGATGGGTGCTCTTCAAATAGGCCCCAAAGAACTGGAAGTAGAGAAATGAAGAGATATCTGTATATGTTCACAGCATAATTCCACGATAGCTCAAAGGCTAGAGTAATCCATGTCCATCAACAGAAGAATGAATGAACTTATGATGATGCTGGTTATCAACTTGACTAAATTAGATATGCCTAGAAAACTGCTGAACCACACCTCTAGAGTATCTAAGCATGTTTTCAGAGATGACTGGCATATGCATCAATGAGCTTGAGTGGGGAGATGCATCCTGAGTGTGGATGATGTGTGGCCAGTGGGTTCATGGCTGAGTAGAACAAAAACAGAAGGGGGAATTCCATGTACCCAAGGTTTAACTCTTCTTGAGTGAATGTGTTTATTGCTAATGCCATCACCAAGGAAGTTAAATTCTTCAGTCTTTGAATTTGGTGACTGTCAAGGCCTGTCAATCCTTTCATATATACATTCTACTGTTCTGTTCTTCAGAACCTTGACTAATAACCACTACAACTGTAGTTTATACATACAATGTATCAGCCTATGGAAAAGATAATTTGGGCACAAAGCCCTGGGTTTGCATTCCAGCTCTGTGTTAACCAGGTAATGGGAGTACACACCTGTAATCTCAGCACTCAGGAGGTGGAGGTAGGAGGATCGGTTCATAGTAAGTTTAGGCCAGCCTGGGTGATGTGAGGCCCTGTCTGAACAGAAAAGGGGGGGAGGATTCTGATATTTTCCAATATTCATGTACAACATGGATGAATGCTAAGAACCTTAAGGTAAGTGAAATAAGTTAATTACAAAAATATAAATACTGTATGGTTTCACTTATGCGAGGTACCTATAATTAGTTTCATACAGACAAAATGGCATGTTCCATGGCCTGGGAAGAAGTGGAAATTGGAATTACTAATACATATAGAGTTTCAGTTTTACAAGATCAAAGTGTATTTTAGGTTTAAAAAATGGTAAACAGCCAGGTGTGGTGGCGCATGCCTTTAATTCCAGCACTTGGGAGGCATGCGGATCTCTGTGCATTCAAGGCCAGTCTGGCCTACATAGTGAGTTCCAGGACAGCTAAGGCTACAGAGAGATCCTGTCTCAAAAAGATAAATAAATAAATAAATAAATAAATAAATAAATAAATAAATAAACAAACTATACTAAAAGGTCAGCCTGGTCTACAAACTGAGTTCCAGGCCAGCTGGGGCTACAGGGAAACTCTGTCTCAAAAAGACCAAAAAACAAAAAAAAAAAAGGTAAACATTATATGTATACTCAGGAATATTGAATTATAGACCAACGGTAATTTGTTGCAAATTAACTTTGTTATCCATCTCTAGGGATGGGTGCTTGGAAATCATCTCTTTGGAGAGTTTCTAGACATGGCAAAGCTAGAAGTTGAAGATATAAGCCAAACAAAACTTACTTTTTTTTTTTTTGTCTTTTTGAGATAGGATCTCCCTGTAGCCCCAGCTGTCCTGGAACTCACTATGTAGACCAGGCTGGCCTTGAACTCACAGAGATCCGCCTGCCTCTGCCTCCCAAGTGCTGGGACTTACAGGCATGTGCCACCACGCCTGGCTACTTTAAATTTTTTTTATTTTATGTGTATGCGTGTATTGTTTGCATTTAGGTAAGTACACCCGTGTAGTGCAATGCATGCAGAGGACAGAAGAGGCTGTCAGAGTTAAGGACAGTTGTTAGCTGCCTTGTGGGTGCTGGGATTCGAACCCGGGTCTTCCACAAGAACAGTCAGTGTTCTTAACCACTGAGCCACCTCTCCAGCCCACAAACAAAACTTATATCCAAATACTCTATGGTGTGCAAACTCCCACTTGCCTGCCCAATATAGTACTACCGTTATCATGAACTACTGTAGACTTGGTTTTATTGAAAATGTTGTACCTTCGAACTTATAAAAATTAGCTGATAGTAAGAAAATATGCTTTGTATTGTTTAATATATCTGGGTTTAATGTTAAGGCTTTCTTGGTGGAGTAGGTTTGGTGAAAGAACACCACACCCCAAAACCTGGGAGCTGAGGCCAGCCCGGCTCCTGGGCTCGGCCAATCAGCAGCGCGCGCGGGAAGGCCGCCAAGCCGCGGGCCGAGCAAGTCGATGAGTCGGTGCTGGAGCTAGGCGCAAGCAGGAGGTTCGGTAGGCGTTTGAGGTGGGCGGCTCGCGGTTGTCTGCAGCCCGGCTGCCAGGGGTCTCCGCGGGCAGGACACCCGTCGTGGATGGACGGGCTCGGGGGTGCGGGGTGGCGGCGGGGCTGCCACGTGGGCAGCTGCGTGGAGGCCGCGGCGGGCGAGGGCCTGCGGGGAGGCCGCGGGGTTTCGGACACTTACCCCTGTCTCGCTGTGGCTTCCAAGCGAATGCAGAGCGGCCTAGGGAAAAGGCCTTGCTGACTGCGTCATCTCTGAAAACCGGGAATAGTTTGAGCCAGCACTGCCGGCAAAAACAGCTGCGGTTTGGTGTAGTTAATATTCTGAAACTCAAATCTGATTTGAATATAGAAAGTTAGGTGTCCTAAGCCCGTGTGCAACAGTTCAGCGTTTTTCCGAGATAGTGCTACGAAAGTGTGGCCCCAGACTGGTGGTCGTCATCTAGGGACACGGTAGAGAAGTCGGAGAGTCACAGCTCCAGGAAACTGCACGTGAACTAGATCCCCCTGCTAATAGCATCTGACTCTTTTCCCAGGTAGCCCTGCCTTGCTCACTCCACCTGTGAATTCCTTGAAGTCAAAGACTTTCAGCGGATTTTCACTTAGTGGCTGCCCCTTTCCCTGCAGGTCTTTCTAATTTTTAAAAATTTATTTTATGTGTATGACTGTTAATGCCTGCATGTATGTACGTGCACTCGTGTCGTCCAAAGCCCGTGGGGACCAGAAGGGGGCGTGGGATCCCCTGGAACTGGAGTTACAGATGGTTGTTAGCTGTCATGTGGATGCTGGATCCAAACCCAGGTCCTCTGCGAGAGCAGCCAATGCTCTTAACTGCTGGGCCATCTCTCCAGCCCTTCCCTGCAGATCTTTCTTGGGAGCTAATCAGTCTGGTGGGTTCTAGTAGAACCATCTCTTCAAGTTTTTTATGCTGTGTAGAGATGTGGATCCAGAAGTTTTTTCCTCTCCACCTCGAACCCTAATCCCTGAGAAACCTCAATGCTACTAGAACTTTGCCTGACTACTTAATAGCTTAGTGGCCTTGGGCAAGTACTTTCTTTCCTAATCTGTAACATTAAGCAATTATACTTTTTCCAAGAGTTTTTGTAAAAATTATATATATCTATATATCAGTAATACAATGCTAGCTACTATTATTGTATATGATAGTATATATTATATATGCATATTATATGCACTATTTATGTACAATAGCTTGAAGGCAATTGAAAAGAAATTGTAGAAACAGAGCAACTACTGCCCTACAAGTCATAAAATAACATAGTTTAGCTATTGCTAAACTAAAGCAACATAGAATGTTTTCGTTATGGTGATTTTTTGACACAGAGTCTCCTTGATGTAGCACAGCTGGCCCTTGAACTTGTGATCCTTCTGCGTCAGCCTTCAGAGTTGGGATGAAGGTGGAAATTGCTACAGCCAACTCAAAAATTCAAGCTTCCAGCTGGTTTAGAGTTCAAATGTGGCCTTGTTTGGAGGAAGTGTGAGTCAATTCTAAGGTTTATGAAGGGGTCCCAGCGTTAAATAGTGACCACAGTGGGATTTAAGGTCCCAGCCTTAAATCCAACAGGAGTGCATGAATTTCCAGCTGATTCTATGCTTTTATTTTTTAATATTATGTTTTGCCTGCATGTATATTAAGTACACCCCTGTTGTACAGCACCTGTGGAGGCTGGAAGAGGGACATCAGGGGTGTTGGATCCTTTGGAACTGGAGTTACAGAACGCTATTAGCTGTCATTTGATGGTGGGATGTGAACCCAGGTCCCCTGGAAGAGCAGTCAGTGCTCTTAACTGCTGAGCCATCTCTCCAGTCCCTGATTTGGTGCTTTTTGTTTCATTCTCTCTCCATTTCCCTCCTCCTCCCTTTCCCTCCTGCTCCCTTTCCCTCCCCTGTCCCCCCCCTTCCTTTCGCTTCCCATTCTTCTCCTTTCCTGTCCCTTCCTCCCTGGTTCCCCCTTCAGGTCATCCTCCCCACCCCCAGCTGATTCTACTATGGTATCTTACCCTCTGGTCTTCCATTTTTATCATTGTTTAAATCTCTGCACCTGCTGGTCTTTTCTCTTTTTTTTTTTTGTGGTATGACTTTTTAAAAATGTTTTATTTTTATTTTATTTTATGTGTATGAGTATATTGCCTGCATGTTTGTAAGTGCGCATGTATTGCACAATGCCTGGAGAGGTCAGAGGGTGTCAGATCCCCTGGAACTGGAGTTATGGACAGATGTTACCCGCCATGTAGGTGCTGGGAATCAAACCTGGGTCCTCTGGCAGAGCAGCCAGTGTCCTTAACCTCCGAGCCATCTCTCTGGCCCCAGACATGTGACTTTTAACTTTGCTTGGGAGGCTTTTCAATCACCTTCTTTTGTATAATGCCCCCAGTTCTGTTTTCCAAATTTGTTACCCCCACCCTAACCTCCCTTTTTTCACTTGAGAAAGTTTTTCTTCATTCTGTTTATGAAGTGTATAACAGTGGCACCTCTAACGATTCCTGTATCCTTGATTTTGATTACTCCCGTCTTTCCAGAGCCTCAATTCAGTTTCCACCCCTCCACACTTCCTAACCCTTTAGAATTAGCTTCTCCCCTGTTACTCGGTTAGTAAGTGGCCAAGTGAATTAACCAATCCAGTGACCTTTTTTTCCTCAGTTTTCACTGAATTTCTCTGAAATACTGAATATGATTAGTTGTTCTTTCTTGAAATTAAGCCTCCTTGGAGTCTTTGCTTCTGTTGCTCTGATTGGTCTTCACCCTGTTCTGCATGTGGTTCTCCTAAAGCTTTATTCCTTGGCTCATCTGGTTTTTCCAGTAAAGTGTATTATTATTCACTTTTTCTGTCTCCAGAGTATGACGTGATATTTTGATTTTATATTTCAAACATAAAACCATTTAAAACATCAGTTAATTAATATATTATTATATTTGGTTGATTTCTGTGCTGATCGTTTTAGTCACTCTTCCTATAGTATAAACTTCTTTTAGTTAGGAGTTTATAAATCACAAAAGGAGAGTGTGAATTGTAGACTTTTCTAGTCTCTTATGTCTGAAGAAATCTGTATGAGTTTTCTAGGGCTGCCATAACAAAGCACCACAGACTGGGCAGCTTAAACAACAAATCAATTTTCTAGAGGCTAGAAGACTGAGATGAAGGTGTGGCCAGGCCAGTTTCTTCTGGAGCCTCTCTTCTTGGCTTTTTGTTACTTACCTTTTACTGATGAGACTTTTCATCCCAGATAAGGAGAGCAAGGACAGGCCAAAGAAACAGCTCTATCCAAGTCTAGCTTGGAGAAGAGCAGTGAGTTTGCTGGGGTTACTTATAGGAACATGTCTGGCTGATTGGGGCAACTGTGTCTAGGAAAGTGAAAAGCCCCAGCCTAGTGTGGGTGAGGCACCTGGCTGAGAGTGTTTGTGTCTGTTTCAGTCTCCCATATTATATAACAACCTTGGAGATGGGCCTCTTGAGGCTTGTATTTTGTGAACCTTCCTGGCTCTCAGGGAAAGAGAATGTGTCAATGGAGAGGAGGCATCTCCAGTTGGTTTATGAATGGCCTGTCTTCACGTTTCCTTACTGTGACCTGGCTGTATTCAGATTTTCTCCTCTAAGGATGATACCATTTACTACCTGTGATGGCTAATCCTGGGTGTCAACTTGACTGGATCTGGGATTAACTGAAATGAGAGAGATCTTCTTGATTGGATCATCTGAAGCTGGAAGACACACCCTAAATGTGGGTGTTACCTTCTGATGGCAGCTGGTATAAAAGGCCACGGCAGAGGAGAGTGCTTGCTTTTCGCTGCTTGCCTTCTCTCTCGCTGGTGAGTTTGTCTTGCTGCTGTAGACTGTAGACCAGCTGATCTTTTGGAATTCTATCAGACCTTCAGCGCCAGATTGGGACTACTGAGACATCCAGCCTCGTGGACTGAGCAACTATGGATTCTCAGCCTGTCCAGTGTGGTGCAGCCATTGTTGGACTACTCGGACTCTACCCTGTGAGCTAAGCTGATAAATCCCTATATTCATTCTACTGGTTCTGTTTCTTTAGAGAACCCTGACTGATACACTACCCTATCAACCTCGTTTTGACTTAATTACTTAAAAAAATATTTTAACACAGAAGGCCACAAATGGCCAAAATGCAGAGAGTAAGAGTCTGCAGAGTGTGGGTCCTTGGACAGGACTCCTATATTGAGGTCCACCCACCCAGGGCTCAGAAACCATTGTGGAAGAGAGGGCGGAAAGATTGTAAGAGCCACAGAGGAGGTGCATGATCATACAGAGATGGTCCTGCAGATACCTGGAACTCTCCTCATACAAACCTACAGCAATGGTGTCAGCATGCACAAGAACCATGCAAACTTAGGCAGACAAAAACCCAGCACAGAACTGTGGAAATGAAGAGCAATCCCCAATCTTAGTTGAAAAATTATTGACAGATGATTACTGCTGGGTGAGGAAGAGCTGATCTTGAAGGGAGAGACTCTCAGTAGACTGACCAAACCCCAATAGATGAACTTGCATTGAGGGACATCTTCAGACACTAACTACATAATAGGCTTTAACACAAATGACAGAATGTATGAACTCCAGTGGGGGTGGGGGGTATGGGAGGGTGCCAAAGGGCAATGGGGTATAAAGATGATTTTATGCATTAAATATACAAAAATTCAATGAAAAAAAAGAAAATATTTAAAATCCTGTCTATGGAATCTATAAGATTTAAAATGTTGTTTGGGTTTTTGGCAGTGAACTTCTGGGCTTTATTATGTAATAATAATGTTTTTCCATGGTAAACAAAAATATATTTTTAAGTTTATTTTTATTTTATGTACATATCTGCCTGCACGTATGTAAGTGTACCACACAACATACAGTGCACGAGGAGGCCAGAGAGACAACAGATCCCCTGGAACTGGACTTCCTAGTGGTTGTTTGCTGCCTTGTGGGCAGGTTCTCTGCAAGAGCAGCCGGTGATCTTAACCACTGAGCGATCTCTCCAGCCATGTGATTACTTCCTTAAAGACCCTAAACTCGGCTTGGTGGTTCATGTCTCTATTCTAGCCTGTGGGAGGCTAACGACTGAGGATGTCTAGCTTAAAGTCAGCCTGAGCCACATAGTCATACCTTGGTTTGGGGCTCAGGGGGATGGCTCAGCATGAGAATCTGAGTTCAGATTCCCACACTCAAGTAAAAAAGCTGGGTGTGGACAGTGCACTTGTAATCCCAGAGCTGGGGAGGTAGAGACAGGAGGACCCCCGGGGCTTGCTGGCCAGCCAGTCCAGCTGACTTGGAAAGGTTCAGTGACGGATCTTTTCTCAAAAAAAAAAAAAAAAAATGTGGAGAGTCGTGTAGACCTCTGGCACCCTACACTTGAGTGCACCTGCACCTGTACACATGTGCATACACCTGAGTATGTGAACAAAGTAAGACTTTGTTTCAAACATTACCTTAAAACTACATTCTGAGATATTGGGAATTAGAATTATAACACAAATTTTGTGGGCACAAAAATAATCTTATTTCTGTTTTTAAAAAAATGATTTTGGGCTGGTAAGATGGCTTAGTGGGTAAAGGTGCTTGCTGCATAAACCCAGTAAACTGAATTCAATCTCTGGAACCCACATAAAGGTGGAAGGAGAGAACCCATGCCACAAAGTTGTCCTTTGACTCCACATGTTTACTGTGGCATATCTGCTCCCCATAGACACATGCGTACACAATACTAAGTAAAAAGCCCTTTTATAGGCTTTTAAACTATGCATAAATAAAAGGATGAAAATACAACCATTCACCATAGCAAATTATTAAAAAGTGAACACTCTTATGACTGCCATCCAATGTTCTAAGAAATGGAGCATTGCTAGTCCCAGAAGCTCCCAGTGTTCTTCCTCTTGTCTCATTCTGTTCTTTCTTTTCTTTTCTTTTTTTTTTGAGACAGGGTCTCCCTGTATCCCCAGCTGGCCTGGAACTCATTCTATAGACCAGTCTGATCTTGACCGCACAGTGATCCGCCTACCTCTGCCTCCCGAGTGCAGATATTAAAGGAATGTACCACCATGCCTGGCTACTACTTTATTTCTAAATTTCAGTCTTTAAAGATTTATTTTCTCTTTTAAATTATGTGTATGTATTTGTATGTGGATTATACACATAAATGTAGTTGCCTGAGGAGACCAGAGGCATCAGATTCCCTGGAACTGGAGTTAACAGGCAGTTATGAACTTGTGTGTGGTAGGAACCGAACCTGGCTGACCTGGAACTCGCTATGTAGACCAGGTTGTCCTCAAACATCCTCTTGCCTCTGCCTTCTGAGTGCTGGGACTAAAGTTGTGCGCCACCACACCCTGCTCCCTTGTCTCATTCTTGATCTCAGAAGAAAAGTCTTCAGTATCAGTAAATTCAGTGCTTGCTTGTAGTAGGTACTTGGTCTGATAAAATAGCTGCTTCTAACTCTTGAGAGCTTTTGTCTGCAGGTGAAATTATTAAATTCTGTACAGTGGGAGCATCATCACAGCCTAACTCTTCATGTCTGTCTCCTTCCGCATTCATCCTTGGATATAATTTCTGAAGTAAACACTTTGCCCTTCTTTATCTTGCACTCTTAAAATGTGCCCTGAACTTCAAGTTCCATTTACCTTGCTGTTCTTCCATAACATCATCTGGGTTTTCCTAATCACGTGAGCTTTCTTTACTCATTGAACTTCTAAGTTTTTTTTGAGTCCTTGCTGAGGCTTGAATCATCTTCGTTTGCTTCTTTATTTAAAAAAATTATGTGTGTGCATTTGTGGGCTAGAAGAGGGAGTCAGACTCCCTGGAGCTGGAGTTACAGATGGTTGTGACCCACCAAGGTGCTGGGAACTGGGGTCCTCTAGAAAAGCAGTATGTGTTCTTAATGGTGAGCCATCTCTCCAGCATCCATGTTTGCTGCTTAACATTTATTGAGTTCCGTTTGCCAGCCATGAGGCTGGGTGCTGGGCTTGGGGAGATGGATAGCTAGATGGAAAGGTGAGTTTAGATTGAGTAAGACATTCCCTTTCACAAAGGTACCCACACAGTGCTGGGGTTTTCTCCATCGACTGCACATGGGAATCACTCATGGAGCTTTACAAATGCCAGAGCCTGGCCTCAGCCCTGGAGATTCTGCTTTAATCAGTCTGGGAAGTGGCCAGAGTTTTAGGAGTTCTCAAAGTTCCATAGGTGTTTCCAGTGTGCAGCTACAGTTGAGAGGCCCTGTGCTAATTGGGGGGGCAGACCAATAAAGGTATCCTTTCACTGTTTTACTAGAATGAACAAGTGCAGGTGAAGCACAAAGAAGTGCTTAACTTAGATTGGGTTTAGTTTTAATTTTACAAGTGCCCAAATGCTGTTTAACAGCAGGATGTTGGCCTTCTCATCCTAGGGTTCCCTTGACTTAAATCTAGTAGATACAGTACAAGCTATCCCATAGAACAGTCTGCTGATTGAAGTATCTGTATCTTCAGTGTCCAGTATTATGTGGCAAATAAAATATCTTGCTTGTCACACTAGCCACATTTGAAGTGCTCAATAGCCATATGTGGCTAGTGGCTACTGAACTAGACAGTAAAATGCTTAAGTAAAGCATGTTATTTCTTCAGAATGATTTTGGATTTCTCTCACCTTGTTTGAGTCTTACTTTCACACCTTTTAAAATGATTTGTTTAAAAAATTAAGAAAAGTCAGGTGTGGTGGCGCACGCCTTTGATCCCAGCACTCAGGAGGCAGAGGTAGGTGGATCTCTGTGAGTTCAAGGCCAGCCTGGTCTACATAGTGAGTTCCAGGACAGCTGGGGCTACAAGGAGATCCTGTCTCAAAAAGACCAAAAAAAAAAAAAAAAATTAAGAAAGAACTGACCTCTACATGGGCTCTGTGACATACGTATCTATGTCCCCCATTCCACACAAATAAATGTAAATTTTTAATGTGGGAAGGTCTGATTAAAATACTTGTTTTAAGGTCTGGGGAGGTGGTTCAGTGGGTAAAAGTACTTGCTGCTCAAGACTGAGGACCTGGGTTCACATCTCCAGAATCTATGTAAAAAGGTGGGCACAGTGATTCATGCCTGTAACTCTGGAGCAGGGGGCCAGAGACAGGAGAATTCCTGGAGCTCATTGGCCAGCCAGTCCAGTGCAGATGGAGAGCTCCAGATTCAGTGAGAGATCCTATCTCAAAAGATAAAATGGAGAGAGAGGAGGACACCTGATACCAACCTCTGGTCTCAACATGAGCACAGGCAGGTTTACCTTTGCACACATGAACATACTACACATACACATACAAAATACATTTTAAAAGAAGTACTTGTTTTATAGTAATTGTATTGAGCTATAAAGCACATGCTACATAATTCATTCATTTTGTTGGCTTTTAAAAATTGTTTTTGCGTATGTGTGTGCATGGGGTATGTGTGTATGCACTTGTGCTACAGGGCCATGAGGAGGTCAGAGGGCAGCTTTCTGAGATTGGTTCTCTCCTTTCACCTTTACACTTTTCCAGGGGTTGAACTCCAGAGAAACCCTACCTCAGCAATTGCTCTCTGACATCCACATCCAGTGAACATGTGTGCATGTGCACACACACACAAGTAAACAAAAGAAGTAAACTAATGTGCAGTTCAGAAAGTGGGTGCCATGAGGCACACCTATAATGAGGAGGCTGAGGCAGGAGGCTTGTTTGAGCCCAGGAATTGGAGGTCAGCTTAGGCAACACAGCAAGCCCTCATATCTTTTTTTTTTTTAAAGTACAATTCATTACATTTTAGTATATTCACAGATATGTCTTACCATTATCACAATTTAAGAACATTTTTCATTACTTGTACTCTTTAGGTACAATTCCCATGTCACCTCAAACCCAGCTCTAAGCACCAATAATTAATTTTCTGTCATTGTACATTTCACATTCTGGATGTTGATATACATGGAATAAAAAATGTGGTCTTTTCTTACTGTTTCTTTTGCATAGTGGAGCATTTTAAAGTTTCATGTTGTAGCGTGGTGTTGGCACTTCATCTTTATGCCTATATAGTATTTTCGTGTATGGCTGTACCACATTTACCCATTTTGCAGCTGATAGACTTTTGGGCTGTTCCTACTTTTTGACTATTTTGAAAAATGTATTTGTGCCCATTCAGATAAGTAGTCGTGTGGTTGTATCTTCATCTCTTCTGGATGTAGAAGAGCTAGGAATGAAGTGAAAGGGCCATGTGGAAAAGGCCTACATCTCAATGAGAATGTTGTGCTTATATGAATATTTTGTGTAAATGCCATTTTACTGTTTTTTTTTTTTTTCCTTTTTAAGATTACCATGTATCCCAGGCTGGCCTCGGAGTCAGTATGTAGCCAAAGATGGCTTTAAACTTCTGATCCTACTACCTCTGTCTCCCCAGTGTGAGGATTACAGGCATACACTGCAATGCCTAATCTCTGAGGTGCTGAGAATTGGCTTTGCACCTGCTACTCAAGCACTCTACTGATCCCATTTGACTGTTTTTATTTCATGTACATTTCTTACATTCTTTATTCAGAAAGTACTGTCTTTTTAAAAAGATTTATGTATTTATTTTTATTTGCATGTATGTGTGTCATCAACCTGAGTATGTGTGAGCCTGAGTGAGTGTGTATGTATCGTGTGTGTGCAGGTGCCCTCAAAGGCCAGAAGAGGGCATCAGAATCCTTGGAACTGGAATTACAGGCAGCTGGGAAAGGCCTTGTAAGTGCTGGGAACCAAACCCAGGTTCTCTACAAAGCAGCAAGTGCACTTAACCACGGAGCCATCTCTCCAGCCTCAGTGTTACCTTAATACTGGAAGGAAGTAGTTTTTAATTACAAAACATTTATCTTAAAAGTAGTTCATTGTCTCTTCATTTTTGCTTAAGCCTTATTCAGGATGCTGTGTTCACTGCTCCTTTGTGAATGTCTGTTGCTGATAACCGGTTATGCTCATGATGATGACTGGATTGACCCCACAGACATGCTTAACTATGATGCTGCTTCAGGAACAATGAGAAAGTCTCAGGTAATTTTTTGTTTTGTTTTGTTTTTTTTATTTTTTGTCCTTTTGAGACAGGATCTCCCTGTAGCCCCAGTGGGCTTAAACTTGCTATGTAGACTAGGCTGGCCTTGATCTCATGATCTCACAGAGATTCACCTGCCTCTGCCTCCCAAGTGCTAGGATTAAAGGCATATGCCACCACACCCAGCTCTTGGGTAGTTATTTTTAAATGACTTTATCTGTTTCACGATGGAAATAGTCTGATTTTTTTTTCTTTAATTTACACAGAGCTATGAGGGTCGTATATAATTAGTCATGCAGAGTATCTTCCTGAGACTTTTTTTTTTCCCCTTTCTTCCATGCTGAGGGCCTTACAATGCTCAACAAGCACTTTATCACTGAGCTATATCCCAGCCCCCTGGCATTCTAAATCTAAAATTATTTCTCACCCTCCTGAGTGTAAAACCTACCAAGGAGTAAGCTAATTCAATTTTGGTTCTTAGTATGTATAGTTGAGACTTTTTGGTGATTTAATGCAAGTGAATAATTTAAGGAGCAAAGTCATAAAATGATAGAATTTTAGTCTTCATTAACTCGAACCTGTTTTTTCAACTGAAGTGTAAAAAATAAAATCTATCTCTGCTTTGTTTTAGGTGAAATATGGTACATCAGAGAAAAATGACGTGAGTCCTGACTTGTCAAATACTGAGGAATTGTCAGAATGTTTGAGCAGACTTGATTCTTTAATTCATAAGGTTTGATTTTTTTTCATTCATAAAATTAATATTTTTTATGTTACTGTTTATCTTGTCTTTGTTAATTTTTGTATTTCTAATGTTTCTGTTTACTATACAGTTAAATATGTAAATTTTTCTTTAGTTTCTTGTTTTTTTCTAATAGTACTTTGCATTTTTGTAATAACATTTATTATAATTATTTGTGGGACTATAAACTATAAATAGATTTTATTCATCTCAATTCTTTGTTACCTGTCAATCATAGTTCAGGGCCACTGAAGACAGATAAGTAAATGGCCTCTTAACAGTGCATAAGAGTCATTCCAGATATGAAGGATTGTTTAGTGCATGATAACTATTCTTTCTTTATTCAACTTTTTTTAATGTAGCTGAAGTAGGGTTTATAGAAAAGGTAATAAGATTATACAAGGGTTTGAGTGTGTTTCCTGTTTGCCGTGGGAACCACTCTGTTGATTATGTAGGCAGTCAACTGGGTGCAGTATGGGAAGGGCCTGTAATGGGCAGGGAGGTGCTTGTGCGGTCATTGAGGGTTGCAGAAGTGCAGCTGTCCTGATGATGGTCCAGCATGACACCATGAATGAGGTAAGTAGGAAACTTATAGAATAGCCTAATCAGTGCCAATAGTAGAGAAGTAGCTGGGAAAGAGATGAGGATGATGGGCAGGGAACAGCTCCAGTGGATGAGTGATGTGTCCAGCTGAGACTGGCAGAGTGCTCAATGAGCTCCAGATGTACCCCAATCACTATTGCTAATAGTGAGAGCTTGTGAGGGCTTCTCATTTTGCTCGCTCACCTGTTCCTTAATCACACTTACCAGGAACTCCTACACCTGGTCAAAACCAAAAACTGATAATCTGCTCCTTACCATAATTTTAATAGCATTACCAAGCCAGAACTTGACTTTCTTGTTCAACTTTATTGGTGACTGTTGACTATTATATGATTACAGATTGGTGAGTGTGAAAAGAAAAAAATGAAAGACCATAAAAGTCAAAGCAATCCTGTTTTTAGGAGATATTTAAATAAGATTTTAATCGCAGCTGGCAAGCTTGGACTTGTAAGTATTTGATGATGTGTATTAATCATTGTAGTAGCTATTTTCATCTTTGTTTCAAATAATATGTTAGTCATGCCATGTTGCATAAGCATGTTACCCTAGCACTCAGGAAGCTGAGGCAGGAAGAGCTCGAGTTTCAGACCTGTAGCCTATATCAGTCAATTAATCAATAAAGTAAAATAATAAGGAATCCTTATACTTTAAAAAATAGAAAATAGAAAAAAATAGAAAATAGCTGCCTCACCCTTCTCCCAAAAACTGTTTGTGCAAGATTAAAGGAACCAGCTTTCTTTACAGTGGTGTTTGGTGGAAGCAAATAGTGTAGAGCACCCTCATTTTTCTTAAAACTGCTGAGGATTTGGTTAATCCACTCTGTGCACTGTTGCAGCACTAATGGAAGTGAGGGATGGGGAGAGATCCTGGCCTGTCCTACCCATCTTCTGCCATTCCCATATTTCTTAGTCAGAAAATGGAAAATCATTTTGTGTTGAGGGAAAGAAAAATGCGTTTTAAGTAGTTATTCTCTTCGCTGTTTATTGTGGTAGGTGCTACATTTTAGAACTGAGTGTCATTTATTCGTAATGATAAGGCTTAATTTTTATTTATTTTTGCAGTACTGGAGAACAAACCAATGTTCTTGCATATATTAGGCAAGAGTGTTACCACTGAGAGATAATCCTAACTCAAATTTCCCATAGTTTTTAGAATCACTTTTTTGGTTTGGGGAGTCAAAACATTAAGAAAACATAATTTATATCCTACACTGTACTTATAAAGCTTATTTTTATACTTGCTCTTAGCCAAAAGACTGAGAAGTAATATATAGAACTCATTTTTAAGTACATGAACTATTTTTTCCTTACTGTGTATGTCACTAGACTATTCTGGTGGGTCCTAGGCCTCAGATTGGAGGCCAGGCTTTTTGTTTTGCTCTGGCCATGAGCTCCAGCTACCTTTGAAGCAGGTCACAAGCAGATAACTTAAAATGAAGGTTGTCATCACAGGACAGGTTGACCAAACATGTCAGTCTCTCTCCTGGTTCAATAAGAAGTAGTTAAAAGGAAAAGGAGTATTGAATGAATATTGTAATATAATAAAAACACCTATGTGAGACCTGTAAAAGCAGGTATTCTTGAGCCGGGAGTGGTAGCACATGCCTTCCTTTAATCCCAGCACTTGGGAGCCAGAGGCAGGCAGATCTCTTTGAGTTCGAGGCTATCCTGGTCTACATAGTGAGTTTCAGGCCAGCTGAGGCTACAGGGAAACCCTGTCTCAAAAAAAAAAAAAGCAGATATTCTCATTTGTATCACTTCTAATTTTTGTTTGTTTGGTGACACAGTCGCATGTATCTCAGACTGCCCTTGAACTCACTACATAGTTGAGGTTGTCCTTGAACATCTGATCTCCCTGCCTCTACCTCCCAAGTACTAGGATTATAGGCTTGTGCCACAACATATGGTCTTTTAAAGATTTTTTGACTGAATCTTGTTAAGATGCTCAAGCTGGATTTGGGCTTGAATTCCTTTGCCTCAGCCTCCCAAGTAGCTAAGATTACAGGCATGTGCCCCTGTACCTGGCTTGTACATCTCATTTAATCTAAGTTTTGCTGCTGTGTCTAAAGTAGAGTAGAACAGAGCCTAGATGAGAAAACAGACAGAGCCAGACAATAATAAAGATGGAGACTCTTAGAAATAATTTCATTTCTTGTTTTAAAAGATGCTAACACTGCTTTTTTATGCTTTCTGGTGATTTATAATATGTCATATTTTTATTTGTATTCACTTTTTATTATCTTACCCTTGTAAAAGAAAAAGGACTTCTCACATTAAAAGAGGATTTATTAGATTGGCTTATGCAGTATAGTTAGAGTAAAAATAAGGAATGATTCATGAATTTGCCTGCTGTCTTTTTGGAAGGGCCTCACTAATCTCTGTTATTCCAGTTTTGGTATATGTGCTGTTGAAGTGAGAACAGGAATTTTCTTATAGTATTGAGCAGCTTTCTGTCACTATACAAAATATCTGAGATAATATAAAAAGAGAAGGAGCTCAGTTAGTAGTGTTGCCCATCACACATGAAGCCTTGGGTTCAGTCCCTAGCACCCTATAAACTGGCTATGGGTGTGCATGCCTGTAATCTCAGCATTCAGGAGGTAGAAGGAGGAGGATTTGTTCAAACTAATCCTTGACTACATAGCAAGTTCATACTCAGTCTGGGATACATGAGTCCCTGTCTCAAAGAGGGTGGGTTTTGTTTGGGTTCATAGTTTTGGAAGTTCCAGTCTAAGATTGGATGGGCTGTTGATTTGAGTCTCTGGTAGGCATGTTGGATACTAATGGCTGGAACAAAAAGTTTGCTTCATGGCTGGGAAGGAGGAAGTGGCTATTGTCCCACAACTCCTCAGTGGCATACCCAGACTTCTTCCGACTAAGTCCCACCTAAGGTTCAACCACATCCCTGGAGAGCTACCCTGGGCACTAAACACTTAGTACATGGACCTTTGGGAGACATTCAAATCCAAACTATAGAACCTGGATATGCTGGCACATACCTATAATCCCAGTGCTCAGGAGGTTGAAGCAGGAGGGTCATTTGTTTGAGGCCACTTTGGGCTATACAGTAAGACTCAAAAAATCAAACTAAAATCCAAATTATGTTGGGTGTGTGGTGCACGCCTTTAGTCCCAGCACTCAGGAGGCAGAGGCAGGAGGATATCTGTGAGTTCAAGGCCAGCCTGATCAACAGAGTGAGTTCAGGCCAGCCTGTGGCTACAGAGAGACCCTGTCTCAAAAAGATTTTACATATATATATATGCATATATATAAAGAGATATTTTATATTTCAAGGAAACCAAAACCCGTTTATATTTTTAAATAATTTTTATTTTTCTTACTTGAACTATTACAAATTTTACACTATCTGAAAATTTTATTGGCAAATAGAAACTCATAAATTGAGTAATCAAGATGCACAGTCTGCCCTCATTCTTTGCACTTTCAGTGTTTATGAACTTACCTGTTCACTAAAATTTGTTACTTCAAACTCAGTACTTGGTGGGTTTTTTGAATTCATATTTTAAAGTTTTGTGGTTTGAATGTGGGTACTAGCGATCTGAACTTGGGTCCTTATGCTTGCACAGCAAGCACTTTGCCACCGGAGCCATCTCAGCAGAGGTGTTTCTGTGGTCATTTTCTGACATGTGCAGAGTGGCAAAAGTTAGAGTTGCCTGATGCTCTGGGTCCTAGGCAAGGTGGAACAGACTCTGTCTTGTTTCATCTCTAATTCTGCAAACCCTTGTTATCTTTTCCTGCTGTTCAGTGTGACCTATTTAGTGCTACATTTTTCACACTGAGGGAGGGGTAATTTCATTATTTAAAATGTCTCCCAAGGAGGGGTCGGAGAGATGGCTCAGCAGTTAAGAACACTGACTGTTCTTGCAGAAGACTTGGGTTTGAATCCCAGAACATGGCAGCTAACAACTGTCCATAACTCCAGTTCCAGGGGATCCAACAGCCTCTTCCATCTTCTGTGGGCATTGCATGACATGGGTGTACTTACATATTTGCAGGCAATACACACATACACATAAAAAAATAAAAATAATTAAATTTTAAAAAAATGTAGTGTCTCTTAAGGAACTGGAGAGATGGCTCAGCAGTTAAGAGCACTGGATCCTCTTAAAATATTGTTTTAAATATTTTATTTTATGTGTGTGTGTGTATTGCCCACATGTAGGAAGTGTACTCGTGTTGTGCAATGCCCGTGGAGGACAGAAGAGGCTGTCAGATCCCCTGGACCTGGAGTTATGGACAGTGGTTAGCTGCCATGTGGGTGCTGGGATTCGAAGAACAGCCAGTCTTCTCTAAGAACAGCCAGTATTCTTAACCGCTGAGCCATCTCTCCAGCCCCACTGGATGCTCTTTTAGAGGACCTGTGTTCAGTTCCCAGCATCTATATGGTAGCTAACCACTCTGTAATTCCAGTTCCAGGGTAGCTAACATCCACTTTTGGCCTCCATGGATTTGCACACACGTGATTCACTAACATTCAGGCAAAACAGTCATACACATGAAATTTTATTTTTATTTTTATTTTATGTGTACAAGTGTATTGTCTGCATGTGTGTAAGTGTACCTGTGTTGTGCAGTGCCTTAGGGGGTCAGAAGAGGACCTGGATCCCCTGGAGCTGGAGTTAGAGACAGTTGTTAGCTGCCATGTGGGTGCTGGGAATCAAACCTAGGTCCTCTGCAAGAGCAGCCAGTGCTTTTAACCATTGGGCCATCTCTTCAGTCTCAACACACAAAAATTTTAAAAAGTAAATAAAATGTCTCCCAAGTGTGAAGTCCTGCCTTTTGTCCCTAAAGTGCAAGAAACCTAAGATGTGCCTTATAGAAAAAAATACAAGTAAATTAAGCTTCATCCAGGCATGGATTATAGAACTGTTGGCTGTGTTCCATTGTAATGAATCAGTAATATGTAATAAGGTATTACAGAAACAAAATTATATATTGATCAATTGAAAAAAATATTAGCCTTAGGGATTCATAGGCACCTGTGTTCTCTGTGGAATGTGCTGCAGCAGTTGCCCAAGGTGGTGTTTGAGGTGGCTTTGTAGAACCTATATACTTCACATAGTGAGAATCAACCACTTTACTGACGTTTACAGTACCTTTCTTACATGGAGTTCTACAGTTTTTTTGTTTTTCACATGTACTTGGTTTTCATGTTAGCCTTTGAAGACAAGTGCATATTGTACTTACGAAATATTGCAAACTAATTAATTTTTGTGGTGGTGGTACCAGAATTATTTACACATTATTATATTTAGTTTCAAATTAGCTTTTTTCCCCTCTTAAATAAAATTTTTTTGAGACAGGATTTCAGTATGTGGCCCAGACTGACCTTGAACTTACAGTTCTCTGCATTAGCCTCTCGAGTGATAGGGTTGCAGGTGTGTTACCACTGTCTGTGGCCCAAATTGGTTTTAATGTTTTATTAACTAGTATAATCGTTAAACGTTTTTTCTTTTGTTTGTCTTTTGGTAAATATGCAGCCTGATGAAAACAAAGTTGATATGCATTATGATGCTGAGATTATTCTTAAAAGACAGACCTTATTAGAGATACAGAAGTTCCTCAGTGGAGAAGAATGGAAACCAGGAGCCTTGGATGAGGCACTAAGTGATATTTTAATTAATTTTAAACGTCATGATTTTGAAGCATGGAAGTGGCGATTTGAAGATTCCTTTGGAGTGGATCCATATAATATGTTGATGGTAAGATGACATGAGGGTGACATGGTTAAGTTTCCCTTTCAAAGAATACTTTCAAAATGACACCATAGTTAAGAACCTGTATTCCCAGCACTCGGGAGGCAGAGGCAGGTGGATCTCTGTGAGATCAAGGCCAGCTTGGTCTACATAAGGAGTTTCAGGCCAGCCTGTGGCTACAGGAAGACCCTGTCTCAAAAAGACTTTAAAAAAAAACAAAAAAACCAAAAACCCAAATCCCTGTATTCATCACTCATTACAGTGATGAATAAGAAGTGAAATTATACAAATAATTTTGTGTACTTGAATCATTTTTTAAAGCTTTTTAAAAAGTATGTTTATTTGTGGGTGTGGGTATGTGCATGCGTATGTGTGTATGCACAGGTCAGAAGACAGCTTGAGGAGTTGGTCCTCTCTTTCCTTTCCACCATGTGGATCCTGAGGATCAAACTCCAGTTGACAAGCTTGGTGGCGAGTCTCTCCTAGCTGTCTCTCCTGTCCTTGAGTTGAGTTCTTCTGTCTTTACTGACCCTTGTTGCTTTTCAGTGGGAAGACAGCTTGACAACCACTCTGATTTCCACTTCTGTTTCTCAGGTCCTCTTGTGTCTGCTGTGCATTGTGGTATTGGTAGCTACTGAGCTGTGGACACATGTTCGCTGGTATACCCAGATGAAACGTGTTTTTATCATCAGTTTTCTCTTCAGTTTGGGATGGAATTGGATATATCTATATAAGGTATTAAATAAGTGATTTTTTTTTTCAGAAGTGATGGCTCAGTGGTTAAGAACACTGGTTCTTAACCAGCTAACTGTCTGTAACTCCAGTCCCAGGGGATCCGACAGCCTATTCTGACCTCCACAGGCATTGCACGACACAGGTGCACTTACCTACATGCAGGCAATACATGCATACACATAAATAAAAATAATAAATAAATTAAAAAAAAAATTGCCGGGCATGGTGGCGCACACCTTTAATCCCAGCACTTGGGAGGCAGAGGCAGGCAGATCTCTGTGAGTTCGCGGCCAGCCTGGTCTATATAGCAAGTTCCAGGTCAGCTGGGGCTACAGGGAGACCCTGTCTCAAAAAAGACCAAAAAAAAAAATTAATTAAAAAAAATTAAATTCATGCCAGGTGTGGTTGCGCACACTTTTGAGTCCAGCATTTGGAGGCAGAGGCAGGTGGATCTCTGAGTTCAAGGCCAGCCTGGTTTACATAGTGAGTTCCAGGCCTGCTGGGGCTACAGAGAGACCCAATCTCAAAAAAGACCAAAAAAATTAATAATAACAGGAGTCTACAGAAATCTTGCTTCAGATGTGGTTGAAGGCAGTGATTAGATGTGGCCAACACTAGGAATAATTAAATTGGTAATTGTTGGCCATATGTGATTTGGGGGTCCTTGATCAGTTACTAAGGAAAGGCACATGTATAATTTCTACACCCTGGGCTAGCCTCTAGAAAAACAAGTCAGCAGAGCTAATTGGACATGTTGCAAAACTCATTTGGGGATGGCCTTTTGTTCTTTGTTCAAAATGACACCAAAATAATGATAGAAAATCGTATCTTTAAAACTTAGGCTTTTTGAATACAAAAGATAGGTATGATCATTGTAAAGAATTTAGAAAACAGAAAGATACAGATCAATTAATTTTTTTTTTTTTTTTGGTCTTTTTTGAGACAGGTCTCCCTGTAGCCCCAGCTGTCCTGGAACTCACTATGTAGACCAGGCTGGCCTTGAACTCACAGAGATCCACCTGCCTCTGCCTCCTGAGTGCTGGGATTAAAGGTGTGTGCCACCATGCCTGGCTTGATCAATTAATTTTTAAAACTTATCTATAGTTATATTACCAGTGACTAATCACTACTGACATTTAAAAAATATTTTATTATTTTAATGTTATGTGTATGAGTGTAATGCCTGCATGTAGGCAGGTGCACCTGTGTCATGCAGTGCCCCAGGAGGTCAGAAGATGGCGTCAGATCCCCTGGAACTGGAGTTATGGACAGCTGTTAGCCGCCATGTGGGTGCTGGGAATCGAACCCAGGTCCTCTGTGGGTACTGGGAATTGAACCCAGGTCCTCTGCAAGAGCAGCCAATGCTCTTAACTGCTGAGCTGTCTCTCCAGCCCCACTACTGACATTTTTAAGGGATCTTTTTTTTCTAATTTTTTTTCTAAGTTTTAATTATCTTAAAAATGCTTACAGCGGGGGCTGGAGAGATGGCACAGCAGTTAAGAGCACTGACTGCTCTTGCAGAGGACCCAGGTTTGATTCCCAGCACACATGATGACTAACAACTGTTCATAACTCCAGTTCCAGGAGATCTGACACCTTCTAACCTCCTTGGGCATTGCATGACAGGGGTGCACTTACATACATGCAGGTAATATACTCATACACATAAAAGTAAAATGCCTACAGTTTAACTGGTAGAAATTTAAATTAAAATATTTTGTTTTCATTAGAATAGTATAGCATTAAGGGAAATTTTAATTTAGGTCTTCCTGACAAGGGTGACTCAAGGATCTTCAGTGGGTTTATCTAATTGAATTGTAATAGTTCCTTTATTTTTTCCTTTGATTTTTGTGATATCTAAAACAAATCACTTACACATTAAATACATAGGTTCTGGGTGGAAGGAAAGTTTCTTGGTTGAGTGTTATTGCCTCAGTGATTTCTCCTCAGAATTTGGTTTATAAAAGCTGTATAACTGTCACTACATTTCTGAAGAGGCTTGGTTCTGGAATTCCCCCTCTGCATAGATACCAAAATCTACATATGCTTAAACCCTTCTATATGATATGTAGTGCTTGCATATAAGTTTTGAAAACCCTGTCATATACTTCAAATCATCTCTGGGATCACTTTTTATACCTAATACAGTGTCAGTGTTGTGTAAATAGTTGTTGAGGAATCAAAGTCTATATACATTTAATACCTAGCAGTTTCATGTGGTTGGATGCAGAATTGAGATATTGAGGACCTACTATATTATCTTTCCATTAATCATTTGATAAAGCCCATCCAGAGCAAAACACCATGTTATCATGAACTAGAAAAGAACTTGAAATGTTGTTTATATTTTTGGGCACAGCAGAAACATTTGAATACTTTTTTTCTTTTATTTTTTAATTTATTTTATTTTTGGAAAATCTGAACAAGTTTATTGGGCTTGCTAACAGAGTATAGGGTGGGGATTTATTTACAGAAGAGTGGGTGCCCCTCCCCATTTATGGCTGTGCTGGAAAGTCCACACTCAAGTATAGATCCTGTGGCTTCCCAAAAGCAGCACAAAATGGCAAGAGAGGTGCCTTGTGGCATTCTTGGCTTATATATCCTTAGCCCCTCCCCCACATGCAGCTAAGGTCGATTGATTGGGTGGGAGGGGTAACGGACTCCCTCATTGATTTCTTGATAAGTGTGGGAAGGGGGTGTGACTATAGCTTGCTGGCATGGTGGTCAAAGGACACTTCCAGGTAACACTCCACCTCTTCCTCCAGCTCTTTCATTCTTTTTGCCAACCTCTTCCTCAAAAGCCCCTGAGCCTTGGAGGGGGTGATAGGTGTGGATGATCTTCCTCTTATTGTGTCAAGGCACTGAACTTTCGGGTCTCTGCATCATCTGTTGGCTCATTTCAGTGGGATTCTGTCTACTATAAAAACATAAACAGTAAGAAGCAAGAGTATCTAACAATGGCTGCTATAACTTAACCTATGGGTGTCAACACAAATGCTTGGATGGTACTTTAGCAGGTGCATCACATCTGTCTAACAAAACAATTTCGGTGGCTTCCCCGCTGGGGCCTGTATCCTTCCCTGCCACAGGGGATTGGTCTGGTCTAATTGAAAATTTCCTGGTTGTACATGCACTAGACACGCCACTATTGCACCAGCAGGAACATCTTGTTTGGCATATTGATAGTGTAGCACTAGGGGTCTGTTATTGAGCAGAATTATAGGGGACAGGTCTCTTCCAGCCATCTGCATATCACCTTCTGGCACTATGAAAGCCACCCATCCAGTGGCAGGGAGTTTCCAGCTTAGTCCAAGCTTGATTTCTCCCTCTCCTGAGCTCACATCATGCAGTTTCTTCAGCAATAGGGTTTTACTGTCCACTTCCAAAAATAATATTTTTTAGAATATTTTCCTTCATCATAATTATGTACAAAGATGGCAAGGGGCTATTGTAGTTAGTTCTTTAGCTGTTTTTTGTTTGGTTGGTTGGTTTGGGTTAGTTTTTATTTTTGTTTTTTCATTAAGTCTGCTTTTCTGGCCGCGTGTGGTAATGCACACCTGTAATTTCAACACTTGGGAGCTGGCAGCAGGAGGATCAGGAGTTTAGGGTTATCTTCAACTACATAGTGAGGCCAATCTGGGCTATATGAGACTTTTTCTCAGAAAACCAAGAAAAAAAAAACTTTTCTGTGAGCTGAAAACAACTTGTCTTTAAAAATAATGTAGTGTTTTGTGTTTGGGTTTTTTTTTTTTTTTAGTTTTTAAAAAATTTAAAAAACTTTTATTTTTATGTGCATGAGTGTTATGCCTGCATGTAAGTGCATCCTTGTTGTGCAGTATCTGTAGAGGACAGAAGAGGTCAGCAGATTCCCTGGAACTGGAGTTACAGACAGTTGTTAGCCACCATGTGGATGCTGGGATTTGAACCCAGGTCTTCTGCCAGAACAGTGGTCTTAACCACTGAGCCATATCTCCAGCCCCTAGTTAAAAAAATTTGAAACTCATGCCTGGATAAATGGTAAAGACAACTTTGAAGTGAGGTTTGGTGGATGTGTAAGCAGAGCCTTCACTGTCAGCATTCCTTCATGGTCCCTTTCTTTGTTGCTCAGCTAGCCTTTGCTCAGCATCAGGCCAACATTGCCAAGATGGAGCAAGTCAGCAATGTGTGTGTTGAGAAAATGGATTGGACTGGAAGTCTCTGGGGTAAGATATTTTTTCATTCATCATTACTGTAAATAGAATTTTTTTTTTTTGGTCTTTTTGAGACGGTCTCCCTGTAGCCCCAGCTGTCCTGGAACTCACTATGTAGAACAGGCTGGCCTTGAACTCACAGAGATCCGCCTGCCTCTGCCTCCAGAGTGCTGTGATTAAAGGTGTGCACCACCATGCCCAGCTTGTAAATAGAATTTCTGAGAACCAGAAAGACACCTTTAATCACAAAATGATGAAATGCCAGAAGAGCTCTCCACGGCTGAATCTTTAACATGTGAAGAATATGAAGTGGGTGGGAGTGAGGAGGGTGGCATCATAGCCAGCTGCTTAAGAGGCTGAGGCAAGATCATAAACTTGAGCTCAGCTCAACAATTTTACAAGACTGTCCCAAAATAAAAAAGGCTGGGGATGTAACTCAGTGGTAGAGTACTTGCCCACCATATGAAATTCCCCAAGTTTGATCCCCTTGTACTGCCAAAAAGCCAAGCCAAACCAACCAAACAAAACAACCTACAAGATAAGTTTAAAATTTGTTACTCACTGAACTCACCTGAAGTCACAGGGAAGAGACAGCAGATGTGTGTGCTGATTCTGATGTCAGTCCTCCATTATACTAAGGGATCCGAGGCTCCCTTCTTTACTTAGTCCTTGCATTTTCTAGCAGAAGTTTTCTAAAAGTGAGTGAATGGATATGTAAATTAATACCCATCTTAGTTTTAATTTTCTTAGTTGACAGAATACTGTAGTTTTTAAAAAAATATTTATTTTTATTTGTACAAGTGCATTGCTTGAATGTATGTATATGTGTACACTGTGTCATGCAGTGCCACGGAGATCAGAAGAGGGCATCGGATTCTCCTGGAACTGAGTTAAGGATGGCTCATAGCTGCCATGTGGGTGCTAGGACTCAAACCCCGGTCCTCTGCAAGAATAGTCAGTGCTCTTAACCGCTGAGCCATCTCTCCAGCCCTAATACTCATAGTTTTTTTTTTTTAATGAAGTGTTTGTTTTTTATCTTTCCAGATTGTGTAAAAATTCTCAATAGTGTTGCTACTTGCAACTGTGTCTAGCACTCAAATGGTTTAATGTTCAAAGGCACTTTATAAATGTTGAGTCTGTAATGACTGACAGAGAATAGATTTTCAGGAGATTTTTACAAGTAGGTCCAGAATTAATGTTTTTTTTGTTTGTTTTTTTTTTTTCTTTTCGAGACAGGATCTCCCTGTAGTCCCAGCTGGCCTAGAACTTGCAACGTAGACCAGGCTGGCCTCAAACTCAAAAAGATCTGCCTGCCTCTGCCTCCCAAGTGCTAGAACTAAAGGTGTGTACCACCATGCCCGGCCTCAGAATTAACTTTTTTGTTGTTGTTTTGAAAGCTAAACCAATTGAGTTTGGGTTATTGACTTCAGGAGACATGTCTTTTCTAGTGCAGGCTAGTTTCCGAATGTGCAGAAGACTAGTTTAGAAAAATTGGGAGAATACTCTGTTCTCTTTTGTCAGAACTTTTAAAAATAAAATTGAGATAATTATAGATTTGTAGGTATTTCCCCCAATTGTAACACCTTTACAACTATGATAGTGCACTATCAGAGCCAGGAGGATATTAACCAACTCACTAGTCTCATTCAGATTTCTTCAGTTTTACTTGTGTTCATCTGTGTATAAAGAACGGCTTGTAGGGGCTGGAAAGATGGTTTAGCTGTTAAGAGCACTGGCTACCTGCCAGAGGACCCAGGTTCAGTTCCTCAGCATCTACATGGTGGCTGACACCAGCTGTAACTCCATTTCCAGGAGATCTGACACCCTCTTCTGGCCTTCATGGGCATTGCACAACACAGGTGCACCTTACATACGCGCAGGCAATACACTCATAAAATAAAAATAATAAATAAAAAATTAAAACCTTTTTGTAATTACCTTTTGGAAATCTTTATAAGCATTTTTTGTATCCAGAAGATTTGTCTAAGATTTTGAAAATATGATTTTGGACAAGACATGAAAAATCTAACATTACCAAGAGTCTACTTAAAATGTAAAACATGCTGGGAGTGGTGGCACACACCTTTAATCCCAGCAGAGGCAGAGGCAGGCGGATCTCTGTGAGTTCAAGGCCAGTCTGGTCTACATAGTGAGTTCTAGGACAGCTAGGGCTACAGAGAGACCCTGTCTCAAAAAGACCAAAAAAAAAAGTAAAACATTCAAAAGGGTGGGGCAAGGATGGTCAAAATGAAAATATCTTATTTGTGAAAGAAAGAAATGCAACCTTTTTTGATTCAGTGTTTTGTCTGTTTTCTAAATAGAATGGCTTAGAAGTACATGGACTATGAAGGACGACCAATGCCAAAAGTACTATGAGCTCTTATTAGTCAACCCTATTTGGTTGGTTCCACCAACAAAGGTATAGAATATATTTTGTAAAACTTACAGTGTGTGAAAAATTCCTTGTATTTATAAAAGATTGATAGTGCTTTTTGAGGTTTGCTTTACTAATAATAAACCTTTGTCCTAGAAAAAGATACTTCACTTATACCATGATTTTCATATTTAAAGTGACATATCAGTGGGTGTCATGGCACACACCTGTAATCCTGGGACGTGGGGGGCAGAGGTGGGAGGCTAGAGAGTTCAAGCCTTTGTTTCTGTGTGTCTTAGTCCTTGAAGAAAATGTTAAGCAGGTTTGATCTTTGTTTTAGGCACTGGCAGTTACATTCACTAACTTTGTAACAGAGCCATTGAAGCACGTTGGAAAAGGAACGGGTGAATTTATTAAAGCGCTCATGAAGGAGATCCCTGTGTTACTTCAGATTCCTGTCTTGGTGATTATGGCATTGGCTGTCCTGGTGAGTATACTAGCATTACTGGATGCGATAAGATTTAAAAAGGCACTTCTACAATTATCAGACTTCTTTGATGTAAATCAAATTAGACTAAGAGCATCATGCTCAGGTATAAAGTAATTGTTAATTGAGATTTATTCATGTGTATACACCTATTCTGATTACAAGTAGTTCTTTTGTTTGTAGGTATCATAGCAATGATTTAGAAAAGAATTTTTGTTTTTTAATTTTTAGTTTTTATGTGTATGAGTGTATTGCCTGTATGTACGTGAGTGTACCCATGTCGTGTAGTGCCTCGGAGGTCAGAAGAGGGCTTCAGATTCCCCTAGAACTGGAGTTAAGGACGATTCGTAGCCGCCATGTAGGTGCTGGGAATTGAACCCGGGTCCTGTGCAAGAGCAGTCAGTGTTCTTAACCGCTGAGCCATCTCTCCGGCCCCTAATTTGTTTTTTAAACTTAGTGAATACATGGGAAATTAGTTGGTTATTTCCTCTTTGAAGAAAATAGGCCTTCTTATTCCAGTCTGAGTTCTGCAGCACTGAGAAGGGAAGTTAGGTTAAACAGAACAGAGATGGGTAGGGGAGGAGTGGGGGTGGGTACTGAGCAGCAGTCTGGGGCCTCCAAGAGTGGACACTGATTAAGAATATTACTTGAGGGGGCTGGAGAGATGGCTCAGCGGTTAAGAACAGTGTTCTTGCAGAAGACCCGGGTTCGAATCCCAGCACCTATATGGCAGCTAACAACTGTCTGGAACTCCAGTTCCAGGAGATCCTATGGCCACTTCTGTCCTCCATGGGCATTGCACAATGGTGGGTGCACTAACCTACATGCAGGCAATACACACATACACATAAAATAAAAACAAAAATTAAGAGTTTAAAAAAAAAAAAAGAATATTACTTGAGGGGCTGGAGAGATGGCTCAGTGGTTAAGAACACTTGCTGTTCTTCCAGAGGACCTGGGTTTGGTTCCCAGCACCCACATGGTGGCTAACCATCTGTAACTCCAGTTCCAGGGAATCCAACACCCTCTTCTGGCCTTTTCGGGCTTTGCACGACATGGGTGCACTTACATATGTGCAGGCAATACACTTGTACACATAAAATTAAAATAATAAATAAAAATATTACTCATCATTCTCTCATGCTCTCTTCAGCATTTTGTTGTTGATTTTTAGCCAGGACCTCCCCCACAAAGCACTTGCTGTATAAATCAAACAGTGAAGAACTTAGTTGTACTATGGTAATGTTACCCTAGGGACAGAGAATTACAGTGCTTTATGCCCTGTGAAGTTGTTCCTCTTTTGGTTTTGTCTTGCTGTGTGACTGACGACAGGAGTCAGTGGTTGAATGATTTTCAGCATTTGCCTTAGGTAATGAATATCAATATAGAAGCATGAGCAATTATCAGGCAGTTGACCTTTCTATTAAATTTCTAGGCTTCAGCCTTGCCTTGTTATATACTCAAAGTGTGTTGAGCTGATTGAAACCTTTACTTAATAGTTATTTAGTAAATATTATTGGCTACTCTGTCCAATACAGTCTTAAGAGGTTTTTAATTAAAAAGTGAAAATAACATTTTTACAACTGCAAATACTATTTGAAAATTTTGTTAGCATCCTGAATAAAAAAGCTCATAACGTTGTTATATGTCAGTCACTAAATCCTCAGGAAAATGTCTTTCTTTTCCTTACAGAGCTTCTGCTATGGTGCTGGAAAATCAGTTCACATGCTCAGACATTTAGGTGGTCCTGAGAGAGATCCTCCTCGGGCGCTTGAGCCAGGTGATCGAAGACGGCAGAAGGAAATTGACTATAGACTTCATGGCGGAGCAGGTGATGCAGATTTTTATTACAGTGGCCAGACTCGTTCCATTGAGCAAGACCCTTATGACAGAACACTTGAGTGTAAAAGAGATGTTTTGAGAAAGAGAGACGCTGGTTCGACATTTCAGACTGGCAACAAGAGCCCTGAAGTGCTCCGGGCATTTGATTTACCAGACACAGAGGCACGAGAGCATCCAGAAGTGGTACCCAGTGTAAGTCAGCAACTGTTTATTTTGCTGCCCATTCATCCTAGGCCCAAATGCTTCTTACAGAGCTTTTGATAGTTTTTATTCTTTTATCCTTTGTTAGTTGTGTCACTGTGATAGTCATCCTCTCTCCTCCTTTTTGGTCAGGTTAGTCCAACTTCCTCAGAAATAAAATGAGATTGACTTTTTATGTCAAACACCATTTAGCTGCATTTTTTCATTTTTAACAATAGAGGTTATTTCATATGACAGTTCACAGGAAGCTAATAAATGACCTAAATTGTCTGCCTTTAACAAGATCAGAGAGAAGGCCTCACTGAGGGCCTGGAGCACTAGGGGACTAGCAGTAGAGCTCTGAAGGCTCAGCCTTCATAGAGGGGGATCTTGGGGAGGAGCTTGGCCTTCCTGTCTATTAATAGGATTCCTATAGAAGAAAGTCTTTGATAGCATGGTTGGGTGGACTGGGCTTTTTACCTGTAATGAGTTCTTCACTATTGATAGGTATTTCTAAATATTTATTGGCAGTCCTAGGGATTGAACCCAGAGTCACACATGCTAGGCAGGCATCCTGTAGCTGAGCTACATTCCATAGCTTTAGTGTTGGTTTTCGTTTGCTTGTTTGTTTTGGTCTTAAATTTTTTTTGCTTTATTTTTTTATGTGTATCCATGTATTGTGTGCATGTATGCCAGTGCATTTGTGTTGTGCAATGCCCGTGGAAGACAAAAGAGGGCATTGGATGCCCTGGAAATGAAGTTAGGGAAGGTTGTTAGCTGCCACATTGGTGCTGGGATTCAAACCTGAGTCTTCTGCAAGAGCAGTCAGTGCTCTTAACTGCTGAGCCATCTCTCCAGCCCCAAGTTTTAATCTTTAAAAGACAGGGTCTCCCTGTAGCCCCAGCTCACCTGGAACTCACTATGTAGACTAGGCTCCATCTCCCAGAGATTCACCTGCCCCTGCCTCTGCCTCTGCCTGGAGCTTTAAAAGCATGCACCACCACACCCAGCTCATTATTGTTTTTTTTTTTTTTTTTGAGCTGAGGACTGAACCCAGGGCCTTAGGCTTGCTAGGCAAGTGCTCTAATCTCTACCACTGAGCTAAATCCCCAAATTGGTTTTTTTTTTTTTTTTTTTGACAGGGTTTCCTTATAGCCCCAACTGGTGTGGGACTCACTATATAAACCAGGCTGGCCTCAATCTCACAAAGATCCTCCTGCCTCTGCCTCTTGCATACTTGGATTAAAGGCATGTGTACCACCACAATGCCCAGCTCCACTATTGGTTTTTAAAAGGGGCATTTCCATTTCTGTTTGAAAAAGGAATTGGCATTGGCGTTTGGCAATGTGTGAGTTGCAATTATAAACCTTTAAGAAAGTTCTAAGTGCAAGAAATAGACCTTTTGCTCTGGATTCTTTTATAAATGCATCTTTCTAGAGAAGCTGAGGCTGCTCTTTCCAGGTTACTGATCACCTGCCACTCATTCCCAAAACTTTCCAATGATTTCCAACTTATTGGAGGGAAAGGCATTTACCAGAGTGGCCCAGGGGTGTCCCTCACCTGCCCTGTCCCCTATCTACCACCTCACTGGTCATCTCCTACTCTCCTCCCTGCTCGCTCTACCTTGGTGACAAGGGCATCTGACTGTTCCTTGGACTCAAGAGCCTTTTGGTTGTTCACTGTCTAGGAAGTTGTTCACCTTTATACCCTGAGGCTTTACTCACAGCATCGTAATTTAAATTGCAGTCTGATCTTACCCCACTTCCAGCATCCCCTTTGTTTTTCTGTGTACCCCTTAATTCAGATATGTCATACTCTTGTTTGCTGTTTGATTCTCTCCCAAACTCGTGTAAGTTTCTGTGGGAACAGTTTTTGTGTTTCGTTCCTATTGTATCTCCAGTACCTGGCATAATACATGTTCAATAAATATTTGTGGAATGATTCATTCTCCCCAGGCAGAAGAGTTAGGAATACTGGTGACCCCTTGTAAGCATCAATAGACCACCTGTGATACTCTCAAGTGTGCCTGTTCCTCCACGTATTGTTCTGAGGCCTGGTACTTAAATAATTATGATCTAGCACTAGAGCCAAGATTTTTAAATGTTTGGAGCTTGCTACAATAGATTTGTATAAGAATTTGGTGATTAATCTTTTACGTTATGTCAGATAGTTAAAAGTGTAATTCTGTATTTTATAGCATAAATCAGCCATTGTGAATACAGACCTCAAAGCAATTATTAGAACCCCAGGAGAAAGCACCCTGCTAGAACACAGCCAGTCTGCCAAGTCTGTTTCTGGCCAAGTGGTACCTGGGACTGTGGACGGCCCATCTACCATGGAGAAGGCCCAGCTGAAGACTGACTCTGAATGCAGCCCACAGGCAGGCGGGGCACACAGCCCAGGAGGAGCTGGAGCTGCCACAGGTGGGAAGGATCCTGTCAGCAGCCCTTGCGGCTGAAGGAACTTGGACACAGGCCACAGCTCTGAAGTCATCTTTGAATTTTGTAAAGTATACTCTTAACTCTTCATTCTTCCCTACAAGTTTACAAAGGTGCCAACTTAAATCACTAATAATTATACCAACCATCAGAATAAGCAAATACACACACATTTATATATATCAGCTTTCTTTTACTTTCACCTTCTCTTAGATGTTAAGATATAATGTTAATTTTGGAACAGGGTTTTGTAGAATTCACATTTGTAAATGAATACTATGGCAAATTACATTGTAGATAATTAAGGTGACTGACTAACAATGATGAAGAAATTTTGTTAACTGGCACTTAGAGGAACCAACTAATCAAAGTGTGTGTTAGCTAATGGAAGTCCTGTAATAGTTTACTAAGAATAATATTTTAGTTTTGAATTAGAATCAAAATATTCCCATTACAATGGGTACTTGAAAACATTCGTAAATGCAGTTCACCCCCTTATGCACTCTGGCATCTGATGTAGCCACAGAGTACATGTTACTAGTGTCGGTCCAACTCTGCTTCTAGGTAGGCCACCACAGAACAGTGTGACTTTGTGGTTACTGCGCCTGCTTCCTTATCATACACTTACTTTACGCCTCACTAAGACAGACCTGTAGACTGCCTGGTTCAGTCAATACCCTGACTTTGGGAATGGCTGTATTCTTTCTCAATAAAGTGCACAGGTTTTAGAAGATCTTTTCCCATGTTGATCAGAACCTAGCAGTTGATACTATTAGATATGACTAGCTTATATTATGGCAAGCCATATTGTCTTGGCTAGATAAAATTCTAATTTTTAGAGAGCTGTGGCTAGAGAACACTATGAGAAAACCAGAAACTGCAGATAGGTTGTCAAGCAACATTTTTTAAATCAACCAGAAACTGCAGATAGGTTGTCAAGCAACATTTTTTAAATCAACATATTTCTGATTTTAAAAAGCATTCTCTATTTTAAACCTTTAAAAAAGCAATTTATATATTTTGCACATGTTGCTAGTTAGCAGTGTTTACATGTATTCAGATATCCTTTGTCTTTTATTTATCTTTTTTTTTGGTCTTTTTGAGACAGGGTCTCCCTGTAGCCCCAGCTGTCCTGGAACTCACTATGTAGACCAGGCCGGCCTTGAACTCACTGAGATCCACCTGCCTCTGCCTTCCGAGTGCTGCTGCTGCCTCCCGGTGATATCCTTTGTTTTAACCATATCCACACTAGAAATTTTATGGAGCAGTCTTAGAAAAAAAAATACCACTCAAGCCAGGCGTGGTGGCTCACACCTTTAATCCCAGCACTCGGGAGGCAGAGGCA